GGCACTTTTATTCTGAACGGTCTTCAATCTGTGCCCTTCATCTGCGATGACGATATCAATCCCACGACCTTTGGCCAATTCCTCTTGCACAGTTCGTAATCTTTCATACCCGATGATCATAACATTATAACTCATTCCCATTGTAAAATCCGTAAGCCTCATGTGTTTTCCATCCGCAACAAACACGCCAAGTCGATCATTTCCTAACCATTTTCTGAATTCTTTTTGCCAATTCTTAATCAGCGTCACCGGGCATACGATGAGAGCCTTTTTAACCACTGGGGATGCCCCGTATATTGGATTTTGCTTCATTAGAGTCCACAGCAAAGCTATTGTCTGTAATGTTTTCCCAAGTCCCATTTCATCCGCAAGGATGGCCCCTTCACCGTTGAAAGGGCGCATTCCCATAACGCATTCGTAAAGAAGCTTGACACCCTCGCGCTGATGTTCGCGAAGATGTTTTCCCAGGAGAGGGTCAACGACGACATCAACGATCTGCTTACCCTTTGGAACTGATTCTGGGCGTTTCATCACGATTGCTCCCGGCTGGTTTGGGTCATGTCGTGGAGTGACTTCTTTGTTCGGTTTCGACGGCAGTACAGAGTCTTCTTTCAAGGGGTTTTTGAAACGACTATTCGTTGCAATACTTTTTGGTGCTGCAACATTAAGCACCTTTTTTACAGCTTCTTCGGCCTCACGTACTTCTGCCCTCCTCCCAATCACTGCCGGCTTAGTAGCATCTGGTTTTCGTACGGAACCAATGCGAGAGACACTAATCGGTGTCATTCGCGGTAGCTCTGGCTTCTTCAATAATACATCAGGCGACTCCCTATTTACGCCGAGGAATGGACGACCGGCGAGATATTCTTCCTTGGAAAGTATTGAGTCGACCTCAACATCCTTCCCGCCAATGGACAGCGCTGAGCCAGGTTTTAGGGGAGAATTGAACATGATCCGCCCCATGTCCTTTCCAGAAACATCTTGGAGATAGGCATAGCCACCTCGAAGGGACAAGATCCCGTCACCGTCCCATGTCCTATGCTTTTTGGCCGTAAATTTTCGCCTAGAGAGCAAGCGTGGTAAAACCACGCATTTGTCAGCAACGGTCGATGCACGCGTACACATAGATATAAGAGAAAATCGGAGTCTCATTCACCAAAGAACATTGTAGTAGCCCTCTACGCCGCCGTCGCCGCCGTCGCCGCTTGCCGTGTCATTCCGCCCAGTCTTATCGAGAAGCTTGGACGAGTTATTCGCCAAGATCAACGGTTTCCGATAGAGAGCCTGGCCACTTTTCACAACATGTACGGTCCCATTAGGCTTCACTCCTTCTTCAGTCGCTACATCGCTGGCGTGGTCGCCGATACGACGCCGTTTAGCGGAGGGCTGGGAAACCGAATCAGAGGTATCCTGCTGCGTTTGGGGAGCGGAGGGCGGCCTCCGGATGAGCGGAGGCTTAAAGGGCTTGAATGGCATCTTAACCGGGCATCATACTCCCGCTATCATCCCAGACGCGCCTTAACAACTGAAGGATGGAGGTTTGATACCACAGGGAGTTGGATCGGAACACGTGAGGTCGCGCCTGAGCCCGGTTCTTTTAATTGAAAACGCGGGGTCACATGATTAGTTAGCTAAATTGCTTTAACTACGGAGTAAGTACTCCCTAGTGAAGTCAAATTCAGATAAAGACAGCCAACATAAGCTCGGCTGCTTCCATGCGCAACATACTATTTTAATTTGTCTAACAAGATGTATAGGATTCAACTATTATTCAAAATATCCTCCAAAGATAGAAACACAGCTCCTAATGTCTTCTGCTTGGAGAAAAAAAGAGGAGAAAAAACAATAGCAAAGTCGTCACGCTAAAAAAAAAACCAAAACTTGAAGCCACCCAAGTCAATGCACCCATCATTTTATCATAAAGTCGTCGAAAGCTCTTCGCTTTATTCGTAGAGGTCTTTATCCCCCATGTCGTCTTCCAGTTCTGCAATAGCTTCATCTTCATCAATCATTTCCTCATCCTCGTCTTCGCTGCCAACGTGGTTCGGGAGCACCGTGATATGGCCTCCCTGCATCGCCACACGCGCGACTTCATCATCTTTGATAGCTCCTCTGAGTATCAACACCGCGAGTCGGTTCAAAATCTCTTTCTCAATGAGCCTGGACAGTGGGCGGGCACCGTACGCCGGAGAATAGCCAGCCTTTCCAAGATAGTCTTTGACCTCATCTGTACAAGAGATTTTGACGTTTCGATCGTTCTGCTCGAGCCTGCGCTGAATCTCGCCCAGTCTAATGTCCACAATTCTTCTAATTTCACGCTTGGATAGTCTATTGAAAATGATAATGCTGGAAATTCTGTTGAGGAATTCGGGTAAAAAGTAGTTGCGCAGAGCGCCCATGACAAGCTCTTTAGTGGTTGCATCGATGGTTCCATCGGCAGTGTTAGGTCGAGAAAGGTATTCAGCACCCAAATTGGACGTCATGACGACAATGCAATTGCTGGCGTCCACGATTCTCCCTTGGCCATCGGTGATACGTCCATCGTCCATCAACTGCAAGAGCACGGTAAGGACCTCTTTTGCAGCTTTCTCGACTTCGTCAAAAAGGAGAATAGAGAATGGACGACGTCTGAGAGCTTCAGTGAGTTGGCCCCCAGCGTCATGGCCCACGTATCCAGGGGGAGCCCCGATCATACGGCTGAGAGAATGACGCTCTTGATACTCCGACATATCAAATCGAATCATGGCCTTGGGGTCATCAAAGAGGAATTCAGCCAAGGCCTTCGTCAAAAGAGTTTTACCTGTTCCCGAGGGACCGCAGAACAGGAAGCTGGGGGGTTGATTTGGATTCGCGAGGCCCGAACGCTGCAGCCGAATCGCATTGCTGACCGATTGAACAGCTTCTTTTTGTCCAATAACGATCTTGCCTAGATGTGACTCCATATGGAGAAGCCGGTCCTTTTCCGATGTTTTCAACCTGGTAACCGGGATACCCGTCCATCGAGCAACAATCTCGTTTATCTGCTCTGGGCCAACTGCGTCGGCGAGGAGAGCCTCGCCCTCCGCCCCGGCCTGAGCAACCGCTTCGGCGTCTTGGCGGGCTCGAGCTGCTTCCAGCCGTTCGATGCGCTTTTCAACATCTGGAATGGCGTAATAAACCAAGTCTGAAGCCGTTTGCATGTCGCCGGATCGTGTGGCCTCTTCTGCTTTAACCTTGAGCTGATCGAGCTTCATCTTTGCGTCCTGAATATCGCGGCTACGTTGCTTCTCACGCTCATATTTCTCACGGAGCGGCCGTAATTCTTCGTTGACGTTGGCTGCCTCTTGCTTGGCGACCTCCAATCGTGTTTTCGAGGCGGCATCCTTTTCCCGTTCCAAAGCATGGATTTCAATTTGCAACTGGCGCAGTCGCCTTTCCATAGTGTCAATAGCTTCAGGTTGTGATTCTCGAGCAACGCGAACTGCGGCGGCTGCTTCGTCGATGAGATCGACGGCGGAGTCTGGAAGTCGCCTGGCAGTGAGGTAACGGGCAGCCAATGTCGCAGCAGAGACTATTGCTGCATCGAGGATGTTGACACCGTGGTGGACCTCGTATCTCTCCTTTAAGCCTCGAAGAATGGAGATGGTTTCGCTGACCGAGGGCTCTTTAACGAGAACCTGTTGGAAACGCCGCTCGAAAGCTTGGTCCTTTTCAATATACTTTCTGTATTCTCCAAGGGTGGTCGCACCGATGCAATGTAGCTGCCCACGTGCAAGCATTGGTTTGAGGAGGTTAGCAGCGTCCATGCCACCTCCTCCGCTGTTACCGGCTCCCATGAGAAGGTGCATTTCATCGACGAAGAGAACGATCGTCTCCTTTGACTCTTCAATTTCCTTCAGGACACCTTTCATGCGCTCTTCGAACTCGCCACGATACTTGGTGCCAGCGACGAGCGCACCCACATCCAGAGAAAGGAGCTTGCAATGAGCGAGGTTTGCAGGAACATCGGCGTTAACGATTCGTCGGGCCAAGCCTTCGACGATTGTGGTTTTACCTACACCAGGTTCACCGATGAGGACCGGGTTGTTTTTGGTTCGTCGACTCAATATTCTGATAACCCGTCTGATCTCTTCTTCTCGGCCGATGACGGGATCTACCTTTCCTTCTCTCGCCAGGGCTGTCATGTCGATGGTGAATTTCTTGAGGTATTCGCTGTCCACCTCGGAATCCGCAGTTTTGGAGTCCACTCTCTTTGTTCCACGGATCTGCTGGACGGCGGAATCGATCATCTTCACGTCGGGAACGTTCGAATCAGCCAAGGCCCGCTTGACGGTAGAGTCCCCGGCCAAAGCGATAATGAGGTGGTCGATGGCAACATAGCTATCCTTCTGTGTTTTGGCGAGTTCTTTGGCGGAGCGTATGACCTTGGCTAGGGCGGGAGAGATGGCCAATTGCGCGGGAGGGGGGTCCTGACTGGGTAACCGGACCAGGGCCCTTTGTAGGGAGCGATCGAGCTGCTGTGTATCGCCATGGGCTCTTTCGACGACCTGTTTGAAGAGGGGGATGGGCGCTGATTTGCCTCCATCTTCAGTCTCGGCGAGGATGGGATTCAGTAGGGCAACAGCCAGGTGTATGGGTGCGATCTCGGGGTGTGCAAACTGGTCAGCAAGCTCTCCAGCCTGCTGGATGGCCTCGTTGGCCCTGTCTGTGAATTGAGAAGTGTTCATTGTTGGGAATATCGGAGAGGGCCTAAGGGGTTCAAGCTAAGCTAGAAAAGAAACTCCTCTAAAGAAAGCGTTCTTGAAGGCCGTTCTCTTTCCAAAAAAAAAAAAAAAAAAAAGAAAAAGAAAAAGAAAAAGTATGTAACATGCAGTTATGAAACTCGTGTGATTTAGATGTACAAGGAGAAAAAGAAGAGAGAGAGAGAGAAGGGAGAGACAACCAAGGGACGACCGCAACAAAGGCCTGGTATAGCTCTTGATCCGAGCGTGGGGTTTCCCTGGCCTGCTGTGCTCGCCGCTTCACGCCAGTTCGAGGCGTTTCGGGAAAATCGCGGCGGCTTCCAGAATCAACGACGTAATCCCACGTGATACTGTGCTTTTGATTGGGCCACTGGCAGGCGGTCTCCACCAATCATACCACGTGGATCCCGCAACGGGCAGGAACTTCCTGCCAATTTTTATAACGTGCTTTGTTTTTGCCCCTTCGCGCGCCTGCCCAATTTTGGTTTGGGCTGCTGCTCTTGCCCTGCAAAGGGGGAAAGAAAAAAAAAAGAAAAATAAATAAACAAATAAATAAATAAACAAATAAAACATAAATATCTATACACACAAAAGAAGTGAGGCTCTGTTTGTCCAATTGCTCCTTCCCGGCTCGGGCAGACGATGAAACTCTTTCTGTAGCGGGAAAGAGGGGGAAAATCCCAGAAAATGCGAAAGAGCGTACAGGAAAGTGCAGCAGCGACGCGCCTTTCCCGGAACGCCAGCCGCCGACAAGCCTGCAGGTGTGGCACAGTCATTCAAGGACATAAAACTATGTACCGCTAAGCAACCAAGGCTCATGCCGTGAAGTGACAAAATGCAGGAGACCAGCCTCACTGGCGATTTGGCGCCTTGAAAGATCATCCACCTCGAGCCTCATGATCTCGAATGTCAGGGCCGAGCTGCGGAGAATTACATCAGTCACCGTTTTGCAAACGCATCCCGGCACTTATCCAGTTGAATGTTTTCCAACACCCAATGCAAGCCAGTAACTCTGTTGCGGCCAGCTCCCCCCAGAGTATGCATTATCAGAGAGAGAGAGAGATGTGGACTTCAATGTCCACACACGACTGTCCGTCGTCTGCTGGTCTCGTTCAGGCCGGTGTATGCGCTGAGATACGTTCATTCCGTGCATCTGTCGTTTCAACCGGGCCTCTTTCAAACGAGATCATACCTCCCATTCGCCTTATTGCCTACAGAGTACCTGGTTCCAAAGTCCATCAGCCCTTTTTTAACGCAGGGTACGTAGGGTACTCTGCCTAAGGGCGGAATCGCCCAACATTTCAAGGGTTCTCCTGGGAGTCTCGAAACATGGGATTTCCCCGGCCCAGTTGAACCCCAATGCCGAATGGCTGTTGCAGACAGTCGCAGTCGTTGAACGCTATAACTGAAGACGACCTGTCCAACTTGGTTAGGACGAATGGAAACTCACATACAGTATGCATAGGAATTCCGGCGGTCGTATTATCCACCCCCGTAGCACGGGCGTATCCGCCAACTAGTAGGGACTAATATGCAGTCTGGGACACCCGCCTCATAGATCTGTCCTACCATAGTCCGGGCTTGTCTTTTCTCTTTAAGCGCGTTGCTAATATCCCGTTGAGGTATCGCCTTTGGTGGGTATGTATGTATGTACGAGAAAAGACTCTATCATAATGCCTCAGTCTATCTACACCTGCCAGAAGGAGGCCTAATGGAAGAGCCATGATTTCGGGCCCCTTTTTCAGCGGGTTTACGGGCAATTAGCCAGAGTGGTTTAGTTCGGGCAAGGGTTTGCAAGTCCAGTTTGCAAGTCCAATTCATTGACATCTCTTCAGACCCCAATTTGAATGACCCAAGGAAGATGGAAATTTTTTTGCCCCGTGATGTGTTAGGCATCGGGTGCAAATATTCCCACAAAATCTGGCGAAGAGGCCTATCGAGCCATGTCGAGTAGGGGTGAAGTGGATGTAGCTAGATACATATGTAGCCGTTTTCTGTGAGAACCTGAACTATTGGATAAAGCGATCATTGGTGAATGTATTTTGATCTCACAAACGGTAGTGGAATCCCTCGCTCTCTTTCTCATCCTCTGTGACTTGGTTGTTCCACTGGGAGCCAGCCTGTAGCGCGACAACCAACACACGGCTTGGTGACTCCAGGAGATAGTGTCGAGGCACAGCGTAAAGTTCGCTCAACTGTGGATAATTGTAGGACGTGCCCTAGCTGCGTCTACAGTGAAGTGCATACGTCGAGACGCGGAACGCTACGACTTCAAGAATGTGATAACTCCCTAGCTTTTCGCCTCACGGCCGAGGTGATGCGTACTCCGTACTTGCATACGAAGAATAACCTTGGGCGGGTGGAAAAAAAAAGGGCTCATGATTTAAGTTACCACGGCTGGGTCAAATCTTCGCCCTGTGGGAGAGAAGGTTCCAATACCTTCCGAAGCCGCCGGAGACTACTCCCTATTAGCTGTTGGGTTTTGGCGTTGACAGGTGATCTGTCGCACGAAAGCAGCATTGACTAATATTCTCGCAGCTCGTTGACAAATAGCAGGCGAAGGAGATCCCGTTGCTCGGGACGGATCAGGTTTCCTTTTCCTGAACACCTGCAGACACACCTTTTCGCCTGGAACTGTCAGCGTTGGTGCGGAGGCTGCGGAGGCTGCTGAGCAGGGCATCCGTTCCGAGGCTGGCCAGTTTTGGAGGGTGAAGAACAGGGACGGTCTCCATTTAAGGCCTGCTGCGACTGGGCGCGGTGGGAACTGGGCTTGCCCGCCATAAAGTCAAAGTTGTGGGCGGCCAGCAGGGATCCAAGCGGCCGTGGAACCTCCCAAGGGAACACGCTCCACACTGATAGGGCGAAGATGCTCAGGGCAGAGGTACAGGACGGATTCTATCCGTGGAGACGCTGGCTTTTCGTTCTCCCGCCTCGGAGGAAAATATCGACGTCATCTGCTGAGATTTCACTCTCCCCGCTCCTTGGAAAAGGGCCAGGCTGAATATCAGGTCGGCCTCTTAAATATATATTTATGCTCGCACTGAAGCCTCGAGTCTCGACATTCGACCCTCAGAGTTTTGGGTCTTGTCGTCATTTACCTTCACCTGCAGCTGGATTTGACAGTCTCTGCTGAATCTCACCACCTGGGGGGACTGCGACTCCTAAGCAGTGACTACCTGCATAACATACCTCAGCTTCTTCACAGGCCCTGCCTCCGACCTCAAAAAGAACAGCTGCATTTATAGAAGCACAGCTCTCTACAAACCATACCTTCTTGCCAACATAGATTTTCCCCTCTGTTCTTTTTGATATCGAATATTTTTAAAATCTATATATCACAATATACACAACAGCAACAATGGCTAAAAAACCGATCTTCGTGGCTACGCACCCCCGAGCCTGCTCCACGGCATTCGAAAGGGTGAGCCGGAGACCCCTCCATCGAATGACTCTGGCATATCGTTACATCTAGGACAAGGATTGACTCCCACGTTAGGTTTTCATGACCCGCCGTGATACGCTGAGGTGCGTGCACGAGCCTTTTGGGGATGCATTCTATTATGGCCCAGAAAGGCTAGGCAGAAGATATGAGGATGACGAGGAGGCTAGAATTGCTACTGGGTTTAGCAATTCGACCTATAAGACAATCTTTGAGCGTTTAGATAGAGAAGCATCTGAGGTCTGACCCATTTCCCTGTCATTGAGAAATTGCGGTTCGCCTTTGCTTCTTTTCCAACCCCCTTCTTCTACTCGTACTGTTCGAGGCCTTGCTGTCCCGTGCATTTGTTTCTTTGGCACCAGTGACACCATTTTCGAAATGATCCTTTCGTTTCGGGCGATCAAGTCGAGGATGAGCGTATACGGTTGACCCTGTCGTTCCGAAGACCACCCTTCTTACCACGTCGTTTCCCCTAGTTTAACCCATGAACCATCGTGTTCCGCATTTTAATACCGTTGAGGTGCCGTATACTTACCGTGAAGCAGGGTCCTCGTCCTTTCATCAAGGACATGGTTTACTATCTTTTCCCGGAAGATGGCAAACCTGCCAGCATCGCTCCATCCTTGCAGCAGGTCAAACGGGGCATTGGAACCGAGGGTGCCAACGGCGTCAACGGCGCCCACTCAAGCAATGGCGTCAGTTCTAACGGGTTCACCCATGAGCCTGGCAACCCAACTGTTGTTCCCAAGGAGCTTCTTTCAAAGTTCCATTTTGCATTCTTGATCCGTGATCCACACTACAGCATCCCGTCATACTACAGATGCACCATCCCGCCTTTGGATAAAGTCACTGGTTTCTACGAATTCTACGAATCCGAAGCTGGATATGAAGAAGTTCGCAGGTTCTTCGATTATCTTCGAGCTGTTCAAATGATTGGGCCCCACCTCGCCAGTGGTAAGAATGCCGCAAACGGCTCCGCCGTGACGAACGGCAATCACGGTGCTAGCGGTTCAAATGCCCACGAAGGAGTTGAAATCTGTGTTGTTGATGCGGATGACCTCCTCGATAACCCAGCCGGTGTCATCGAGAGATTCTGCATCAGCGTTGGAGAAGAATTCACGCCTGATATGCTCAACTGGGAGAGCAAGGAGGACCAAGCCACTGCTAAAGAAGCGTTTGAGAAGTGGCCTGGGTTCCACGAGGATGCCATGCATTCTACGTCCTTGAAGCCTAGACTCCATGTAAGCGAGGCCCTTGTCTAAACCACTATCGTGGGTAAAGAATTCTAACGTTTCTCGAATAAGAAGAAGAAGCTAAAAACCGAAGAGGAGTTCGACTGTGAATGGCGCGACAAGTATGGTGAGAAGGGAGCGAAGATTATCAGATCGGCCGTTAATCGCTCGATGTCGGATTACTTGTACATGAAGCAGTTTGCTATGAAGGTTTGACGCCTCATAGGGCTGCTTTGGGTTTTAATCAGATTCCGGGTTTTGCTTCTATCTTTTCGGGCTTCGATCGTCGCTAACGAACTTGGGTGGGTTGGGAACAAGGACTGGATATGACGTTGAATTTGATATACGGATTTCACAGAACAAACAAGTAATACATGTCACACCTAATAGGTTGGCCAAAGGCTCGCTCCTTTTGAACTTGGGAGTTATACACAGTCTTATGCAACGCTCCTTACATTGTGTATTGTTAGAAATCTTGACTTCGTAATGCGTCTGATGCCTTTCTACCATGTGGCCAATTCCCTTCCACGCATGCAAACGCCGGGCCTTCGTGGCCGCATACTGTAAGCCTATATTTGTCTCACAGGCCTCAACGTCCAACTCCAGCCAACGTTTTATCTTTTTATTAAGTCTCCAAGTTAATACTCCTGCCAAACCGCGCGTACAGAGCGACTTTCAACTGCTGCAACTCATCTCGTAATTCACCCAGCTGTCCTTCTATCTTTGAAACTTCCTCGTCGATCTGTTCGGAGGAGGCTGTGAGTAAAGCCTGAGCTTCTGGGAGGGGCAGGGAGATGAAAGAGTCACCGATTTTGTAGCTGGGCAAAGAATGTTAGGTTGCGGAGTTCTTCAAATGGATGGTGGATGAAGGAGCTATCCTTACGGGACCGGTTCGTCTTCGTCGGCGAGATCGAGTTCGGCGGATATTTCTTCAAGGTCTTCCTTGTCTTTCTGGAGTTTACGGGTAGTGTTATTAAGGGTGTCTTTGGCAATGGGAGTGCTAACGGTGAAAGGGCTTTGCACCTGTTTTGTTTTGAGTTGCTCCTGTAATGCCGTCTCTCGTTGGTGTAGTCTGCTAAAACGATTTATTTTCTCTTGGTCTTCGCGCCGGACTTCGGTCTCTTCGCCGTGGCTGGCTTCCTCGTCCTCTTTCGAGAGCTGCGGAGTGAGACGGTCAGCGGAACGAGGGCTGGATGAGGGGGGTATACGGGTACTTGTAGAGGACGAACTGACCATGCGCCTTGAGAGCATCATTGTGTCTGTGTGAGGGGATATAACGTCTACCTATCTTTTACTCAGTGCTAAGCATTCAGACGCTGTGAGGATTTGCCATTTGGAGCTCTGTTATAGGCTATCGGAAGGCAGCTCGCCCGAGCTAGAAGGACGCCGCGCTGGGAATACATACAAACGAGTTTAACTACTGTGTCTGGGTTTGCCTGTCTTTGCCCGTCCGTTAATCCACCAGCCCGGTTGATTAATTCGTTGTGACTAAGAGGCCGAGCTCTCACACGTTTTCTGTTCTTTTCCTTTTTTTTTTTTTTTTTTTCCCCGCCCTTCTCAGCCAAAACTGCTCGTCCCGCCGGCCGTCTGGCCTGGGGATGACGGGAGTGATCACCGCATCGCCCTAGTGGCTTGGCATCGAAGTGACGACGGCTGGTAACCATCATCATCGCGTGTCCAGCAATTCCCAGGCACGGCGGATCTCAATTCAAGCACTTCTCGCAGTTGGTGATTTCTGTCTTGGTGTCCGTATCGTCCCAATTTCTTTTTCGTTCTCTCTCTTCATAGCCTGGGGAAGCCTTTCCCTGTCGCGACAGCATAGCTGTCCCTCACCACTCACTGCTGGAAGTGGCCGGGGATAACCCGTTCAGACCCAACCACATTCAACCACTCCCACAGCCATCATGAAAGCGCCTTTAGAACTCCCGATCGTCTCTCTTCTCGCTCTTTTCCCCGTATTGCCATTGGCACAGCTAGATTGTACCAAAATCGTCGTCGATGCTAAAACGTGGGACGTGAGTAAACTAGGTGGACCGCATTCGGTTTACAACGTTGTCGATCATCCTCCCTCTGTTATCAACACCACATACACCTTAGACCTATGCAAGCCTCTGCCGAAGAATAGCCAATGCCCGAGCGGAACATATGGTGCAGTTCGCCCTCCTTCATAACTCTACCAGGTAGACTGACTAACAATACCCACTTCTTTTACTATATAGTGTGCGGTATCGAGCGAACAAAGCCCAAAGAAGGCGATGAGATCATATCGGGGACCATCCCCATAGCAGGGAACTACGCCCACAGTTCTGGCCGATCACTCGATCCCAAAATAACCCGTTTGAAGACCAGCGACTCCCAACAAGAAGGTCTTCGGATCGAACTGCATGGCGGTAAATACCTAAAGCGCGATCAACAAGCCGTGATAGAATTGATCTGCGATAAAGAGCGCAGCGGTCTAGATGACGAAGATAAGCAACAAAGACGCAAGCTAGTAGATGAAAAGCCCGACGATACAGGCCAGGAGGCTTCCGAAGGCGACGACAAGGGCAACCTTGAAAAACAGAAAAGCCTTCAGTTCAAGAGCTATGGAGAAGTTGACAAGATCGATGTATTGAGATTAAATTGGCGAACAAAATATGCCTGCGAAGGCTTTTCAGAGGGAGAAGATGGCGAGAAGTCAAACCATTGGGGATTTTTCACCTGGCTTATTATCCTGTAAGTTAACCTTTCTTGAGGATATGCTGTGTTTTCCTGGGTATTATGCTGACGTCGAATAACCCAATCCAGTCTTTTCCTCTGCGTTGCTGCATATCTCATTTTTGGCTCTTGGCTCAATTACAATCGCTACGGCGCGCGAGGCTGGGACCTGCTGCCCCATGGTGACACCATCCGCGATATCCCTTACCTTATGAAGGATTGGGGGAGAAGGGTAATAAATACCCTCCAAGGTCCCGGATCGAGAGGTGGCTATAGTGCAGTTTGAAAACTGCTCGTATGCTCTTTTTATGTGAGATGATGCTTTTGGAGGTTTTTGGTGCACCCTTTTTATTTTACCCTACCCACATAGAAGGGCCCTGGCATACACACTTTGTTGTCGCTTGAATTTAATGTCCTGGCCGGTTGTGCCATCATGTATACCATGCACCCGACCTGGCCCATTTATGTGTCCATTTTATAGCATAGGACGATCGAGCGTGGATGAAGGCTCTTCACGGTCAATGAGGTCTGGAATACCATAATGTATTTCTCACTGGCGTCATGATTTTCTATGGTTCTCTGATTCTGGTATCTGGTTTAGTTCATTTTTACTTGATTTAGGTATTGTAGGTCTTATATATAGGTATTATGGCTCAGGGTTATTGTATACGAACGCTTACACTCGAGCAGACGAGAGTGCTGAGCCATGCAGCAGAAGGATGTGATTTCAGTATAGGGAATTAATGTTCCGTTGCAATTCTTTCTATTATTGCATGTTTGCCAAAGCCAAGTCCATGAAGGATCTCACTTCGTCGTATAGATAAATAGGTAATTATGCATACTGCATTGAGAGGGTATCAGAATGGTTTAAAAAATAGGTCATTATGGGATTAAATGTGGCTGCGATGCGTATCCCGATTTGAATATCCACGGAGTTGTTATTCCAGATATTCCATCCCCGTCCGGTGCACCATTTGCCGTCCGGACCTTGCTCATCTGCAAACTTGGGAACGCATGCATATGTGCCGTGCATATTTTGTCGAGTCTCAGAGGTTAGATGGGTCACGGTTTATATCGTCACAGCGCCACGTGCCTCTTATTGGCACGGTTAAAAGTAAGCCTTGCCTCGGGTTGCATTCTCTGTCATGCCGGGGAATGGAAGGGTTCTGGCTTTGGTTATCGGTCCACCATCGAGGTTCGAGGATGCGCTATTACTTTATCTCAGTGTGGGTAGGCTGAAAACTCGTATATCAACGCTCGATCTCAACGTGATGAGATATAGGGAGAAAAGAATATTGAAAGGTCATATAATACTCGCGATCGTCATTTTTGAATTACTGATGTGGCTTGTTTGTGATCCGCTCAAGCTCTCCACAGGACGATCCAGCTTCGGTTCAATAAAGAAAGATCTTTTAGTTTCCGTTGCAGAAACCTGTCGCTGCCGCTGCTGCTTCGACAGAAGCATTTGAGTCGTTTGTTCAAGCCACTCCCAACCCTCCCAGTCCTGATCACATTCATCTTTGCGCGAAGGCTCACTTCTTGGTGGGTCTACGAATCGACCCCGTACTGGCGATGCAGTCGACGACGGAGAAGAAGTGGGCGGCGGAGTAGCTGTGAGCGGTGATTGATTCTCGCTATTCTGCCATACCCAACTGCCATCGATCCGGGCTTGGAGGTCAGCAGAAACGTATGCTAGGATTTCTTCATCGCGCTCCAAATGCATGATTTCCCCATGCTGCTGCTTTTCTAGCAGGCATTTCAGAAAGAATGAGATGTAGCGCCCAGCCGCGTTGTTCACGGTTCGTACGTCGCCAATCGCAGCGCTGGCTTGGATGCATACCAATGCAGCAGAGAATTCGGCTTTGAATAGGAGGAGAAGGATACAGCGCCATATGTGCGTACAAAGAACCGTATTTGCCGCGGCCGCAAGTAAATAGCGCCACTCTCCAGTCCCAGGTCCACTAGAATCCAAAGAGCCTGGAGAACGCATGCAACGTGTTAATATGCGAGTGGTATCATGGGCAACAGCTAGACATTGTTCTAGGGCAGTGCGTCTCATTTCGGGAGAACAAGCAGGCGATAAGTTGTGGCGATGGAGGACTAGTCTGGTGTTCTGGAGGCATATAATCGGGGGCAGCGACTGTGGATCGAGGTACTGGTTCGAGTTAACCGCATATTCCGGAGGGAAAGACCCCAGACACATCCTAAAGTGGCACTCAAATTTCTCCAAAGTCTCCGGAGAGATCACCTGCGACTTTAGTGCTTTTGCGAGTTGAGATGCAGAACGTAGAACATGAATGGTGGCAAGAAGGGGAGTAGTCCTGGGTTCTGGCGGAGCTGGAGCTCCTTCTGAGATAAGATGTTCTTCGATAGCAGATGGTAACTCGGTGTCACAATCTTCGTCATGGATCATGAGCGGCCGGCCCAGCTCCAAAACAAGAGTCCTATCAAACTGCACATCAGTATCAGAGTAAGGCTCTGAAATGAGATAGAACCCCCAAACCTTTCCCAGGCATACAAGGACCACCAAATTCGCCTTCTCATCTCAGCATCGAGAGGCGCCCAGCTTCCTGACTCGATATGCAACCCGAGATCTTGCGCTATTCTCATCGCGCAGCCCAACCAAACCCAGCTGGCCGATTTTAGATTATTTTCGTACAAGAATAGACTGATTAGCATTGCTGCTCGGGCTGGATCTACGGAGAACGAGTCCTGCCACAGGTCGGTTAAGCTAAAGCTGGTCTGAATATATTCTTTGCCTTTCACGATTAATGCCGGATCTAGGGAATGTAAGGAACCGCAAGCCAAGACTGCGAAAAAGACAGACGCCCAGCCGCGTGGAACACCACGAAGGGAGCCAGCGCGATATATTCTGTCGTAGTCGTCCAACAAGGCTGGCCAGTGAAGGATTGGGAAGATTGAGTGTATGGAGGAGAAGTAGTGCCTTAAGAGGACGTCGGCCACATTCTTCGGCGGTAGAGGTGGGAAATCACACGTTAACGGAGATTGATATCGAGTATATGACGGGGTGAGGGGGAAGTTGATCAGTCCCTGGCCGTGCTGTCGCATTTTCGAGCATACACCCGCAAAGTTGTACTTCGCGCTTGGAGTGTTGATGCGGTGTGGTCGACAACCAATCTCGGGAATTTTTGGGGTTCCATCGCTCATATCGTAATCATGATCATCAGGCTTTGGCAATCCCATGCGAAGTTGATGTAATTGCTGCTTTGCCTGCGCTAGCTGCCGTTCAAGGTCCTGGACCTGTCTTCAGATACGTTAACCCACTTTGAATGGAGGGCGGAGTTCTAGAAGACTAACTTTATAGAAGACATGCGCCTATTGGTTTCCTTGGTGAACAGACACCTCACGTTGCGGTTCGAGCATTCCGTACAGCTTGAGGATTCGGAGGCGTCGCACTATGCATGGCGCAGATATAACCTTCGTTAAACAAAGCCGGTGACCTGCTCAGCTTCACTATTCCATACCTTGACTTTTCGCTCGCGACACGCATCGCAGCTGGGGTCTTTCCTTCGCTGTCTATATGCTCGTTTGTGAGGCTGTTGGGCCGCGGGAACCACATGGCCAACGGATATATTTGTGGCTTCCACGACTGGATCTTGTGGGTGACGTGCACCAATTAGCAATGGAGGCGGAGGCGGTTGGCCAGGTCCGCTGGAAGGCCGTGAATACGGTTGTGCGTTCGGATAGGATGAGCTGAGGGCTGGAGGAGTCCCCGGGGACGCAGAATTATAAAGAAGGTGGGAGATCTTGAGTCCATTACCAGGCCGATCTGGGGAGAGAGGGCTGTGCTTAAGCGAAGATTCACGGGCTGCAGCACCCGGTTGACCGTCGGAAGTCAAGGAGGGCGAGCTGTATAGGATTGGCTGCTTTGCCTGAGTCGGCTGCGATGGGAGGTATGAGCCGTGCATTTTGTCCAGTTATTTCCCTCCCCTCGCGCTGCTCACAAGAGAAATGGTCCTAAATCTCGTCGCGACGCGACTGAATCATCGGAACGGCACAGATTTTTGGCTGAATATTCGCCGGAACTGGAACCATGTGCCCATGAGACCGAGGGAAGGGTTGGCCTTTGCCCTACAAGGAGCGGCGAGGGTAGAGCAGGTTGAAAGAAAATAAATTGCAAACGTAACTCTACGAAGGCTGTTTCGGTTACATATGTACTCCGGAGTTACAGTAATAATAGAAGGCTCAATTTTAGTTCGCGGAGGCTTCGCGATTCTCAGGGATTAGAGAGTTTAGTCAGATCGAACCGAAAGTAAATTCGCGGGAGCCCTTGGTCGTCTTATCGGGTGGATTCCCGCAGGACTTGCGCACAGCTCTGGAGCCGGCGCATCCTACCGAAATCATAATCAAACTTCGAGGAGAGTTTCAGGATTAACCTGGTTGCCGAGGTTTCGCTAAATTTTGACAGGTTGTAACGGCAGGATTCCACGGATTGTGTGGGCCCAATAAGATGACGCTGTTTGCTTTCTTGGGGTCGATAGGCGACGATCAGGCTTCTGCAGCTAGAAAATAGTGAAGGCGGAAGAAGGGCCCAAACGCGTGCCACACGCAAATGTTCCGAATATAGCCAGCCTGGGGTTGAGCCGGATGCAAGGTTCCAGTCGGTTGCTCAGACACCGGGACGAGGCTTGTACACGAGCGTATCATCCATAATCTCACGGCTCGAGGGCCGATGGCCTTTGATATTTCTGCTTTTTCTGCTGACCAATTTCTCGATAATTCGAAGTAGGCTCCGTACATGCTGCGAAATGAGCTGATTTCGTGAATATTTTCTTCAGGTTCCTTTGACTGGGAACTCAGATGCCATGATGTCCCTCGTATTCTATGATCAAGCAAGAAGTCTAGAAGGATTTTCACCTCCCCAGTGAAAACAACCTGCTCCACTGCCGTAACATCTCACTATTCTCGACTCTGTTCATGTTCAAGCTCAGTTACCAAACCAATTTCCCTTGGGAGAACAAGGTGCTTTGAACGAATGGCCCGTCAGGACCCCGTACATAGTAGTTAGCTGACCCGTAGACGGGGTTGCATGCGCGTCCTAGTATGGATGGGCATGCATGCATGGGGACGACCGGATACAGATGTACGTATGTGTTATGGAGGAACACAGACAGTCTGTTTCACCTCAAAAGTTTGCCAGACCATGTTTACCGCCTGAGAAGGGTCCCCCGATCGTCGCTGGCCCGGAAAAGTCTGAGAATTTAAGATTTGGCCGCGGGATCTCCATGATTGGAAGAACTAAAATTCGAGCCTGGACTTTGCGGTCTTATGTTCAGAATAAGCATATTGAAAGCCGGATGCCACGCTTTGTGATCCACCAACACGGGACAATGGCATGGTTTCGACTCCATGTGGCTGAGCTTGTGATACATGGACTATCACTGCAGGTGCAGGTGAAATGGGATGGTCGCTGGTCTGCAGGCAGTGAGTTATAACAGGGCTGCCCGACTGAGCGATGCCGGGACGGAGAGCGCCCAGGTCCAGGAAAGGTCTCACAGCAGATAAGGATGTGAACCGGCACGAGCAATCTTTGAGAAGCCTCGCCAGTCGGTTGGTTAACTCGCCTTGGACTCATGCGTCATACACAGCAACGCAAGGCCACACACTGCCTTCGAGCAGCGTCGGCGCGCCAGAGTCGTCTTCTGCTGTTTCCTGTCACATGGCGTTCACTCGAGCCAGAACCGAGCGAACGAACACCTTCGTCTGCTTCATCTTTCCCACTCGCTCGCTGGTCTAGCGTCTCAGCAAAGCTCACCTCACGTTGATCTGAGAATTTTTTTTTTTTTTTTTTTTTTTTTCAAACCACGCTTAATCGAGGCGCTTCGGTCGCCTCCATTTGGAACGGAATGGCGCTTCCGTACCCCGCATCTGGGATAGCTCCTCCACATGGGCCATCGCCAACTCTCCGCCTTGTGCTCCATCGAGGGATGCGACCACATCCTCCGGGCGCTCCGGGAACGTAACTTGAGAGCTCTGTGCGTTGAGCTGATGGAGATTTGCATCTTCAACTGGCTTGCTTCGGGAATTAATAATGAGTGACGCTGCATGAGCTAACGCATCAGCTCAGGCTTTCCGGCCGCCTGGGGCGTTTCGTATGGCCAACGGATGGCTTCGTACAAGTTACTTGTGTACATGGCAGCATCCGCAGCACTCGTGCCACTTTTTACTTATGGTGATCGGCTGGCCAACTGTCCCAGCCATTCAGAGTATGTAGCTCGAACTCATCTCAGGACGACGATGTGCCGGCAACAGCGATCCGCGGAGGAACCGCACCACCTTTTCCCTTTTTTTTTTTTTTATTAATTAGTTTTCATTTGCCCCTCAGCGCCTTCGTTGCCAGTTTTGCACTCCTTTAGTGGTTCCCGAGAGAGACATCGACGAGTGATAACTGGCCCAAAAAAAAAAAAAAAAAAAGCCCTGTAATAATTGATTCGCGGATCTCGACATCCCGGCAAATTAACAGATGACATATTCGAGACTCTATGTCTCCCCCAAACCCCCTTGCAAATTGGTGACTTCGTCTTCAGACGGCAAGCGGTTTACAAAGCATTCCGCGGCGACAGGCTGGGCAGAACAGGGGTAGAGTTACTCCGGATGCCATAATATCGCTGGAGTGAAGAAGCGATAATATATTATTAACGCTTCTTGCTCCGCATCCTGGGACGGAATCCTTTCGGTTGGGCAATCCGAAAAGCTAGAACCATGCGCCAGAGTCCAGAACAAAATGCTGAAAACCCAGGCAAGTTACACAGTCAGCAAGGAGGAATGCATGACTTTCTCCCATGTATCTTCCGGCAAACCACTTCATTTGATAGATTATTATTTTTATTCAGTCGCAGAGAAGCCGGACGATCGATTGCCATTCCTGAACACCAACCCATGGGACGTCTTACGTACGACTGTGTATTAGTCTCCCTGCCGAGACGGAACACACGCATTTCGGTCTCACATAACCCTAAATGAGATCAGCACATGGTTATCGTGGCACGACTTCACATCTCGAGCCCTACAATTCCGGTTCGCCCGTTTGGCGATAACCGACACCCAATCAAACCCCCGGTAAATCGGCCAAGCACTCTTCTCGCTCCCAGGGGCCCGTGCACATGGTTACGATGACCCACATTCTTGCGATGTGAGCCGTCTCAACGGCCATTGGACGGCCAAGCAACTGTGATCCTCACCCTTGGAGATATAAATAATCATAAATCAAATGTGTGCACCCTCAGTGGGTATGAAATAACTCATGAACTTCCGTGTTGCAGAGGACGTGTGGGGACGCTCCCAGCGAGAAGCGGGCCGCGGTAATGTGCCGCAATACGGAGAGTGGAGGGATCCATAGCCAGTCGCCTCCCAACATATTTTTTTGTTGTCCAACATAACCCTTCTCTTTGTTTTTTTTTCCTTTATCTTGTTGCGGGGCATTGGGAAAACCCGTCTGGGCGGAGTTCACCGTCCATGTTCCGGCGACCTGGATCCCATATTTTTGAGGAATGAAGAAGCTTTTATTCGGAAGACCCTGAACCGCAACAGCTCATCGATGTCATGATTGGAAGAACGTGAGATTGCGGCTTCTCCTCACAGGCCCACTTAACCCGCCCACCTATTCGGTTCCTCGCTTCGGCGCACAGAGCTTCCATCTTCCCGCAGATGCGGGCTTCCTTACTGTGTTTTTTGCATTTCTGTGCCTGAATGCGGTCGGGTTTCAGACGGAAAACAAAAAGAGAGAGCCAGGGCTATATCACGACCGGGATCACTGCAACCCCCTTCCCCCCTTTCTCTCGACCTCTTATTCCAAACATTTCATATCTTGTACCTTAACACGAAGTTGGTTCGAATTGAGACACGAGAAGAATTGTCAGCGAATATGGTGTCTGGCCTCACAGTAGACCTCCTTATTTGAGCAATATTCGTCCGAGATAGAGAAGTGGAGTCTCCACATGTATGTATATACCTCGGGTTAGTGTGCCTTCTTTTGGGGCAGTCAAGTTTGCGTTTGTCTCCGCAGAGAGAGGGGAACCGGCAAACGCCTCTATTTACTCAGCGAGATCCGCATGCGGCTCCAGATCCCATGTGATGTCGGCGCTGAGAGGTTGAAACATTGACAGGTATCATGCCACCGAACGTGTAGGGCCCCCTTCGCTATGATAAGCCAGTAGCATCATGGCTTATAGAACCCAAATTGATCCATCAAGACCACTATCAGTTCCAGACAATAAGCGGGACTAACGAGCAAAGGAACCTCCCAAACCAAAGTAACTAAAGTGAGAGAACTCCATAACACCCTTGTATGCACTTCAAAACCCCCCTCCGCTAAAAGTACCCGCCTGATGCATGCGGATAAAGTGAAAACCCAAGACAAATCTAGAATCAAGATTGCGCTTCTTTCTTCCCTTTGACTTCTTCCCACTTGGCAAGGATCGTGTTAATAATTTGCGCCAGGCCTGCGGTCTCCTCCTCCGCCACCTGGCCAGAAAGGTCGATACTACACCCCACGTAGACAGGCATATTCATCCTGCGGGCCAATGCCTGGGCCGTGCGCCTGGCGTAGTCGATGGTGTTTGGGGTAGTATACATCGATGTGGCCAACGTATCACCATGATGCAGGCGCTATTAAAACGCGAAATGCGGGGATGAAGTTAGCAGATTGTGGTTCAGTGCTCCTTGCCCTGCCGCCGGAATATTCAATGGAGTTATGAAATTTCGAAGGAATGTCCGACAAAACAGGACTTGTGCTATCGACCGGGCAGATGGGAAAGGAATGAAAAGGCATAGATGAGAAACTACTGAACAACAACACCGGGAAAATTGCGTATTGGATATAAAAGCCGGGGGTGTACATCGTGTTATACCATGGAAAACAATATCCACCCCATCTTTTGAACATGAAAAATGAAAGATTTTAATTCCGGGGGAAATTGATGGAGACCTACATTGGGCATCGCATAGACGAAACTCCCCATTGGCCTCGTAACGCCTTTTGATTCACCGGTTGAAGTAGTTGTAAGAAACACCATGGTTGTCGTTGCGAGGAAAGTGAGATGGATATGAAGTGTTGTATAGAGAGCTCTGGGAAGCGGGAAGGAGACCTCGATGGGTGAGGCGGATGGTGATTTTGCGTCTTGCGTCATGGCTATTGGAACTGTGGTTTATTGTTTCTGATGTGAGCTTGAGTTATATCCCGCAAAAAGATGTAATATCGCGATGCTCTCCGGCAAAAGAGATGTTGTGGCAAAGCAGAACAAGTCTTAGTAATAGATACATGGGACTGAAATCCCAATACAAATTCACCGCTCGGCGTCTCAGCGGCGGCTCGGGCGTCTGCACGCCGAAATCTGCCCCTGGAGTTGCCGGGACGCTAACCCAAGGCCATCCCCGCGATTAGTGGTGAAATTTATTTTGTGTACGCGGATTTCACCCAAACTTACTAGCGTGCACCGCCCGCCAGCCAACCAGACGCTGGCATTTTGCCCGCGTCCCAACCGCATCAGCCCACTTCGACCTTCTTCGATGATCGGGTTGCAATGGACGGTCGATGCCAGATACCCCTGTGAAGGGATATAGCAATAAGCTCCTGGATATACATACATGTAGAGCTATTTTCCCCCGGGGACTCAGCGAAGAAAGGGAAACTGGTTCCGTCAAAGTGTCATCACTGTCGTTCACTCGCCGCTCGCGACCTCAAATGTCAACGGAAGAAAGGCAGGACATGGAGGATGGGGAGCAAGACGAATGGGGAGGAGAATACGATCCGCTGTCAGACCCCCAAGAGCGCAGGGTTCTCTTTGCAGCGTTGGATTCTTTCAGGTATGAACCGAACATCGAGCTTGGGTGCCGAGCACAAGAGTCGCACGCAGGAATTCAAGAACGGAGAAAACCTCTAGCAGCTATGCATAGATACACGTTGCCTTACTTGTACCTTGCTCAAACATCATCTTTTAGCATCAATATTCCCAGCCGAAACCATGCAGCCCGTCCTGTGTAGCGGAACTGGAGTTGCTACCTTCCAATTTACCACAGTTGCGCTAACATGCTAATACCAGTCAATACCGCCGTTTTCTGCACCGAAACATAACCCACCGCCGTCGCCAATCATTCTACTCCCTGCCATCTTTCCACTGGGCAAAGCTCTCCAATCCCCCATTTTCCATGCTGGACACATTCAACAAGATCGACGACGCCATCGACACCAACGCTGACATCGCAGAGGCCATTCTCGCCACTGGCCTGCCGTCCTTCGGCCTTGCACCAGAACCAGCGGAGCACGATCCCAGGAATTGGCGCAACAGGGCCACCCCGGAAGATATTAACAAGGCGAACTCGACCATTCGCCAGTTCTTCCGCGACTGGAGCGCCGAGGGACAGCATGAGCGAGATATTTCATACGGACCAGTGCTACAGGCTTTGCGCGATGAATTCGGCGAGCGGCCCGCGCCGGGGACGAGGGTGCTAGTTCCTGGTGCCGGGCTGGGAAGGCTGGTCTTTGATTTAAGCATGGCGGGATATTCCGCTGAAGGAAACGAGTTCTCGTATCATCAACTGATAGCGAGCAGTTGGGTACTGAACCACACCCGGAAACCAGAGGAATTTGCGCTTTATCCGTTTGCGATGGGATTCTCCAACTTGAAATCTAGAAGTCAGCAGCTCAAGAAAGTGATGATTCCCGACGTTCATCCTGGCTCTGCTGTGACGGTGCAAGGCTTGCTTCCGGAAAACGAGCGCACGATGGGCTCGATGAGCATGACGGCAGCAGATTTTCTTATTCAGTACGCTGAGCCAGAGTGCACAAATGCGTTTAATGCGGTGGCAACGGTTTTCTTCATCGATACCGCACCGAATCTTATCCGATATATCGAAACCATTCACAATTGCTTGAAGCCAGGTGGGCTCTGGATTAATGTTGGCCCGTTACTGTGGCACTATGAAGACAGGCATAATGGTAGCCAGAGCAAGAGTGGGGGTGCCGAGACGGATGATGTTGAGAAGTTGGGCATCGTGGAGCCCGGCACTGTTGAATTCACGGAGGAAGAGATCTTCCAATTGGTTGAGTCTATGGGCTTCGACATTCGAAAACATGACAAGGAAGTGCGGGAGTGTGGATATATTCAAGACCCGGAGAGCATGTTGCAAAATACGTATAGACCGTCCTATTGGGTGGCGGCTAAAAAATAGGTTGTTTATGAGTTTCATTTCGAACGTTGGGTATACATTTTGGGACACTGCCTAATCCTTGACGCTTCGTTGGCCACAGAATCATTCGTGGGTCTTTGGATGGGGGTTTGAGCTTTATTTTATCATTAAGAAACAATCTTGTGGTAAAGGATGACGAAAAAAAAAATCAGCCGTTGAATGTACTTCTCGGGCTGGTGAATTGGATTTGCTTTTCATCCAACGGGCAACCATGATCAGGAAACATAGAGCACGAGCGGCAGCTCAAGGTGGTCGAACTGAACTGATCAAGGAGTCGGAGACCAATCAGCCAATTGTCATAGGTTTCCATCTTTCACAACCGCAAGCCTGCATAAAACTGAAACGTCAGGCTTAGAAAATCTATAAGATGTCGATCCGCTGACGAACAGTCTAGGACATTCCTCGTCTGCCCCCGCAAGCTTGATAATGAAACGGTGTCGGAATCGCCGAGGTGCTCTAACCTGAAGATACCCCACAAGAACATGGGAGTGTCCAACGTAAGGGGGAAAAAAATAATCTACATGGGGATGGTGCCCTGCTTTATGTTAAATCTTTAGAAATGATTGGGGCTCCCCTTGGCGAGTTCGTCAGGTTTTCAGACACTGGGAATCTGCCAAGATGGGATGTGGTATCAACATGATGATGAACCGGCGGTACGGCGGCATAGTGGCACCCGACTGGGGGCAAGTGGATGACACTTTGCGCTCCAGACCCAGCAAATCTGTGATAGAGTTGAGTGTTTAAGGCTGGACCTGGGTAGTTAACATGGGGCCGCTGCGCAGGTGTGGTGTTAAAAGAGCCAGGGACGCCTCTGGAAAACTCGTAACCCTGCTCAATGCCTGCTCTCAATCCACTGGCTGGGACTCTTGAACCCAACACAAAAAGCAGGATCGCGGCTTCGAATGGGATACAAGGATGTGAGGGCTGATCCAAATCTAATGTTCGGAAATCAAGCACGACATCATCTGTGTTCACAGTGTCATCAAGGAGCACCTGCCTTTGATTTCTCCGCAGCTGGCCGACGGTATGCCGCGCGCGCATCTGGAACGTCTTGTTGGCGCCCAAAGGCGTGTTCAATCATGCCTAACGGTCCCGATGGGGGTATCAGGATAAGTGTCCTCGGACGAAAACTTCCGTCCGGGTGTGGCCAGGGGTTAAAAAAAAAAAACTGATGCGATATCGCTCTCGAACGTCCAAGCCAAAATACATCGACCGGCCAATCGTGCGTTCACGAAGGATATGATCCGTGACTAGTTCGTTTTGACCGTCTAGAAGGAGATATTCGAGGCCATCAATGGGATTTCCTTCGTTTCATGTCGACATAAAGCTCAGCAGTGCATCGGCACTTGAATCAACAGCTGCTGCTGCATTGTCAGCATCAGACGAAATTCTCACTAGTTAACAAGTCAAACTAAAACGAACGGGCGTTACATTACGAACCCCGCTGCGAGTCAGGTGATTTTAAGCGCCAAGGACTGATGCATACGGTACCGTTACTAGCTCCGGAGCATTTCGTTGGCCGCCGTGCTCCATCGCCCAGAGGCTGGTTTGGTTGGGGCGACGAGCTTGACCCAGCCCTGGATGGGGTCCCTGGGGACGGTGCTGGGGCGGCATCGTCCCTGTTGCGGAACCTGCCAAGGGTCTGCATCGTTCTTTGCTGCGGTTCGCAGGAGATGGCAGAGCGCTGATGGATATGGTCACGACAGAGTTGGAACTCTTCTCTCGAATGTCCTGCACTTCCGTCGCTACGTGATAGTATCTACCTCAGTTATAGAGCACATGTTGCCTGACCAGTCGCTGACTCGTCCCAAATGCGGCTCTTTGTTCACACCATGAGAAACATCCAGCCCTGCATATTACCCCGTACATCATGATCCAGTCCACAGCTTGAAGGACGGGGCACATTCTCGGAAGGCAGTGAAACATGAACAAGCACGGGGTTACAGATTCTTTGACAAAGAAAAAGAACGATTCCCCTGAATGACGAAGGGCTCATCGCCTCCAAGCTCCTGGCAGCGCCGTTGTTGTTTTTTCCTTTTTGGTGGGTGGAACTACGGAGTATTCCTCCGCCGAAAGCCACCGCTTTTTCAGGACTCAGCCTCATGGATCTGTAACCGTATTACTGTATTCTGGGACTTCGATTACGGCGATGGGCGTATCAATTGGCTGGTATTTGGGCCTAATTGAGACCAAGGCTAGCTTGATATAGTTAGTGTCATCTATCAGTTCGCTATTATGGCGAATCGTAGCGGAGATAGATTTCAGACCGCGGACAGGCGTGACAGTACGGCGTCTTGATGTTACATCCGATGGACACGGTATCGCCATTCAGGCCATATTAATAGTAACCTCCATCTTTGTCATGAACCACAAACCACCATCCAACCCCCTCCCTTCGCAGCCCCCAGTCAGTCTTTCCCCTCCATCCGTTCGTATTCAACTGCGAGCCTCACTCCGCAAATCCTCTCTCGTGCTCTCGCTTTTTGCCTCTCTCTTCTTTCATCTCTGCTCTTCCCTTGCTCCCCCTTCCCCTCCCCTCCCCTCTCCTCTTCTTCTCTCCTGTCGCTCTAATACTCCCTTCAGTCTTGCGGGTTTCTTGCCTGCAGTCATCACATCCTTTTATGGACTCGATGAGCTCTCGGTTCAAATCTTTTGTGTTTGTATCAAAGCGCAAGGCAACAACGTCCGCTGCATCTATCACCTCAAACAACGCCTCCACCTCTCCCCAGTCAGGTCCCAATTCGTCTTCAGCGAGCCTCCCCATGAACAACCCAAACCACCTGGGCCGCCCACCGAGCTACTCTTACACCGCTGGTGGGCGACCGGCAAGCCCGTTGCCACCAGGACAGCATCAGCAGCTGGCCCATCATCCTCCTCCTCTCAATACTGGCGTCGGGTATTCCCATCACGGACATATGGCCGGTGCCGCTCCGCCTCCCCCCGGCTACGGCTACCCTCACCCGCAGCATACCAGCATTCCTCCTTCCATATCACAGTATCCACCTGGCCGACCTCACACTGAGCTGGAAGGTGGTGGCAGGAGCAAGGCCCAGCTCATCGTCGGTATTGATTTCGGAACTACGTTCTCCGGTGTCGCTTACGCGTTTGCAACAAATACGGAAGCGAGAGAAGACATAATAACCGAATGGCCTGGTGCCGGAATCCATATAAAACAAAAGGTATGTCTACAGCCTCCCAGAAACGGAATCATGTTGATTGTCAAACTCACTGTGACTTTTTCTTGCAGATTCCCACTGTTTTATACTACGACCAGTATCAAAAGGTAGTGGGATGGGGTCCGGATATCGCCGACGCGCTTGCTCCCACTGGTTATCCAAAACAAGGCGTCCAAAAGGTTGAATGGTTTAAGCTGCAGTTAATGATCTCAGGGAACACATACATCGATCCCATTAATTTACCCCCTTTGCCTCCAGGAAAGTCAGAGATCGATGTTGCAGCCGACTATCTGTTCAAACTCCGCGGAGCAATGAGAAATCAATTACTCAAGACTCTTGGCGAGGTGTTCACACGAGAGGAGCGAAACATTCGTTATTTCTTAACTGTGCCGGCCATCTGGAATGATGCCGGAAAAGCCGCTACTCGTGCAGCTGCTATCCAAGCTGGGTTTTTGCGTGACGAGAACGACAACCGGCTCACTCTTATTACCGAACCTGAAGCAGCAGCTATGTTTTGTGCAAAGAGCGGCCTCCTTAGTCTGAAGATGCATGATGCCATTCTGATCGTGGATTGCGGCGGTGGCACCGTCGATCTTATCGCATATGAAGTTGAAGAAGAACACCCCTTCTCTGTGTGTGAATGCACCGCTGGTTCTGGAGATTCTTGTGGATCCACCGCACTCAACAGAAACTTTAGCAACATTCTAAGAGCAAAGATTCGAAAAATGAAGTTGCCGGATGGCTCGAGGACGGCTGGAAAGGTCTATGCCAAATGTATCATGGATTTCGAAAACAGAATCAAGGCAGACTTCCGGAACAATGGCCAGAAATGGGCTGTCGATGTCGGAATTGAAGCGGACTTCCCAGATGCCGGCATCGAAGAGGGGTATATGACTTTCACCAATGAAGAAATTCTTCAATGCTTTGAGCCCGTTGTGAATAGGATCTTGGAGCTTGTGCGAAACCAGATCATCGCCATTCAAGCCCAGAATCGACCTCTCCAGGTAAGTTGCTTTGGTCCAAACCTCACTCGAAACCTGCTGAATTTCACTCCAGAATATCCTTGTCGTTGGTGGCTTTGGTGCATCCGAATACCTCTTCCAGCAGATCAAGTTACATGTTCCCCCACAATATCAAACCAAAGTCGTCCGACCAATGGACTCTGTTGCTGCTATAGTCAAGGGTGCTGTCACGGCTGGTATCACCGAACGCGTCGTTACCTCTCGCGTGGCCCGTCGCCACTATTTAATGGCAACGTTGCAACCATTCAAAGAAGGTCACCACCCTGAACAATATCGTGTTCCGAGCTTGGATGGTAAGGACAGATGCAAGTATACTCGGCAGATTTTTGTCCAAAAAGGCGAAAGAGTCAAGATTGGAGAACCGGTTAAAGTCAGCTTCTTCCGTCAAGTTGCTCCTGGTGCAACTCTGATGTACGAGGATATCCTGTACGCTTGTGATGAGGATGTGTGCCCGGAATACACTAAGGATCCACGTAAGTTTTCCTGTGATGCGTTGAATCTACCACGTTCGGGTTCTGATTATCTTTGCAGGTATCAAGGAAGTCGTCACTCTTACATCAGATCTTTCTCGGAAGAACCTCGAGAAAGATTTTGAACGCATGGATACTCCTCAAGGCACGTTTTATCGAGTTTACTTTGACATTTATCTTACCCTCGACGGAAGCGAATTTAATGCGGAGCTCGTCTGCCAAGGAGAGGTCATGGGCCGATGCTCTGCCCGATTCCGGTAAACGGCTTCTTTGCAGCATTTTTCGTTTCGATTTCGCATATAATCAGCGATCCGAAACGGAATGCCCCGCATATCTCTCAATCATGGAAATATGGAAAAGCTGGAGTTCAGGATGGTACAAATTCGATGATAGATCTCCTTACATTTTCTCGCCATTCAGGTTGTTGAGATGTGTTTTCCCCAACACTCAACTTTAAACCCAACCTACAAACATTGTCAATGGTTACCTGTTTCTTTTCGTCCCATCTCGAGCAATGATGTTATGGCAATGTGATACCCCCCCTTTTTTTCATATTTATTCACTTCTATGCCCCTTAGTACCATTTTCGCTGCCATTTATTCTCATTCCTACCGGTATACAATTTGAAACTTCTCTTCCCCTCGCCTTGGATACTTCAATGCCAGGATAGATTTGGTATTGACAACCAGGTTCTATCTTAAATATGTGCACAATTCTGCTAAGCCGGTCCTGTCCGGTGCTACACGATAGCTGGGTGGCCTTTAGCTGTTTTGAACAGAAACATCATGAGAAGCTGGGATGAAACCCTTTTTTTTTTTTTTTTTTTCTTTCCTTTTTTTGAGATTTTAGCAAATGGCCATCTTCTCCCTTATCTTCTTTCCCTTGCAGAGTTTGGGTTCTATAAGGCAACTGCCCTTTAATAGTCCGAAGCAATTCTTGTTGAAGGAAATTATCCACGGTGCGTCGTGTGGATTCATTTCAGCCTACATTCAGAGTGCCTTGATATCACCGTGTCTACTGAGTACGCTGTCGTTTCTCCCTATGAGCTTTGATATCTACTGCCCGACTTGGTAATATATGTTTCTAGCGAGAAAGTAGTCATCACACAGAGTAAATTGGAATTTATAGATAACTATATGCACCGATAGAAAAGCTTAGCTAACCGACTCTTTGAGTACGGAGTATGTACTGTAGTTACGGGGTCCCACTTCCCGAGACCTTATGCTTGAGCCCCACGGACTCCTAGAGTGATGCCAAGCGTTATCGTCTTCATCGCGCTTCAGCAAGGGAATCGCTCATCCGCTCGTTATCCTAATATAGACCTTTAGGGCGTAATACCACAGAAATGCTTTTACGGGAGGAAACCCAACTAGCTCTCTAATTATACACCAAGGTCAACCAAGCTCAGCAAGCACATGCAGATCCAGCATCTGGCGCCGATTCTCTAGGCAGCGCCGTAGCAACAGCATTCGCCTTCACCATGACCTCATCCCATTCTTTATCCGCCTCGCTGAGCCAAGTAATCGCCCCTCCAGCACCTAGCTCAAGCTGCTTTCCATACTTTACAATCGTACGGATAACCACCGACTGATCGACGGTGCCGCTGGCGCATAGATAGCCCAGACTGCCGGAGTATATGCCGCGCTCGCGGTGCTCTTCCAGGCCGTCGAGGATTTGCACGGCTCTGAGTTTGGGAGCGCCCGTCATGGATCCTGGTGGGAAGCATCGCTCGAGAACCTGGACGCCGCCGACGTTGGGGGCGATGTGGGATTGAATGGTTGTGACGAGCTACGGAAATGTGGTCAGCTAGGGGAAGAAAAAAAAGGCCAGATTCTTTGGGGGGCATTGGTGTATTATGTCGGATATACCTGATGTACTGTTTCGTAACTTTCAACGTGGAGTAGTTTCGGGACCTTGATTGATTTTGATGGAGAAATGTTGTGGAGGTCGGCGCGGATAAGATCGACAATCTAACCATGATGATCACATTCGAATTAGTGTGCATGATTTTTCGACAATCGGACGGGAGAGGGCTTGTTTTACCATTAAGTTCTCGGCGAGCTCCTTGACATCCGTCGCTAACTGATGTTTTCTCCGCTCGTCTTCTTCTTTGTCTGGGCTGACGGCAAGGGTTCCCTTTATTGGTTTCATTTCAGCCACGCCATCAGCATCTATGGAGATAAACCTCTCGGGCGACGAAGAGAGTATGGTGGTCTCGTTGACACGGAAGTCTATATACGCTGAGTAAGGGGCGGGGTTACGTTCTCGAAGGGAGAGATATAATGCGTATGGGTCAACATCCGGACACGATGCCTTGAATTTTGTCGTGATTGTCACCTCATACGCCTCGCCCTCCTTAATGGCATTCTGTGCGGCCCGGATCTTCTGGCTGTACGATGCTTCGTCGTCCAGGGCCGTAAACCTTGGTAATGGGCTTGGTGTGCTAAGCGAATGCGAGTCATCCGGGCCAAATACCCTCTTAATCCATGTCAGCAGGGAGTCAAATTCAGCCTCCGTTTGGCCAACCGGTGAAGATGCATTTATAAAGTCCCCGATTGGATCCTCCTGGCCGCGACGAATTAAGCTAAATAACTTCCATTCTCCGGTGTAATTGTCCAGGCGAAGCACATTGGTGGCTAGCATGTGCTGGCTATCCGGGAGTGTGTCCATCTCCTGGCCTGGTTTATCAGGCGAGTAAGTGTAACCCGACAGAGCTTCGCGCTTCAATTCATAGCCAAAGTAGCCTATTAACCCCACCTGGAACAGTGGTTGGCCGACCTCGGCTTCTTGGTCAAGGAGCTTTGGGTCAAGGACGTCGACATTTCTTTGAATAATCGTTGAATGGAAGTGATCTAGCCATGCCCAATAGGAGGTTTGAAGCTGCTCAGACTTCAGTCGCTTTCCTCGCTGGTATATAGATAGGATCTTAGATCGGGAAGAATAGCTGAGATTCAACGATGCAGCGGCCAGGTAGGAATTCCTTGAATGTACGTCACGGACCTGATTTGAATGAGTTACCACCTACTCCATCGTCGAAACATGGATGCAGTCTGGCACTTACCCTTGCACTATCAAGCCATGCCTCACCGTCTGCAGAAGTGTTGCGAATGGCTGCATCAAATACCACCTGTGCTGCAGGTCCCCTTCCAAGGGCCATCGACTTGATGTAATAATGCCGTGAATCTGCACGATGATCTCGACGAGCCGGAGGGATTTCTCCCAGGATAATCTCCCTGGCTTCCCTGACGATGGCACCTTTGTTGAGAATGGAATCGGGCAGAGAGGCATTTTCGGCAATACATCTCTGGGGCCAGCCACTTCCAGTCCAAAACTGAAGAACAATATTTCGGAAGTTATTGATTATCTGCTGGCCATGCGTCGAACACACACTCTCAGGATGCCATTGGGTTCCAAATATCGGACGATTTCGATGCTGAACGCCCATGACAACCCTTGTTGACGGATCCTCAGGGTCGAATGTCCATGCTGTAAGCTCTAGCTCGTCTGGGAGGTCTTCGGCCGCATTTTAACATTAGCTAGAAAATATAAATGTCGTGGAAGGGTTTAGCCAACCTTTGGAGTCCAAGACCAAACTATTATACCTAACCCCTTTGAATTCCTGGGGAAGATTTTTAAATATACCAACATCTGTATGGCCGATTCTGCATACTTGGCCATGCTTGATATTAGGGGTGTGGATGATTTTGGCACCGAATGTAGTGCCAATCCCCTGGTGTCCTAGACATATGCCCAAAATCGGGATGTTTGATTCTTTAATCAACTTGGAGTTAAATCCAAAATCAGATTCTTTATTTGGAGTTCCAGGTCCTGGAGACAGGATGATCGCATCCAATGAAGGTAAAATGGTGTCCTTAAACGTATCCCTGCCAATCGTCTGTCAACACCAACCTGACCATGTGGCGGCAAGGGAATACCGGGTATTGGGTATCACCAACCATGAGAACTGATCAAAACGAACCACAGCTACACTCCATTCGGGATATGGCACATCTCCAGCTCCTCGCGAGGTGTTTTGGAGCAATTGAAGGAGATTGTTTGTGTATGAATCGTAATGATCAATGATAACAGCTCGCAAAGTCCCCGAGCGACCCATTGCAATCGCCTTCTCGTTTTTTCTTGAAGAGTATCAGGCTTGAAACCGCTGATTCGCGGCTAGACAATTCAAGTGCTTATTTTCTCTTCAATGAGCATGGCAATTACCAATGATTAACGCTCTCGAGACAGCGGAAAAGCAGAGCCAAGGGAGCACAAGCCAATAGTGCCCCGTCCAGACCAATATTCAAAAGGCTACGGTTTGGACCTCGATATCATGCAGCCTGAGATAAGTCGATGTCGCTAGGCGGACTTGGTTATCATCGGCGCTACCAGCGTGCTTTGTGGAGAATGGCGAGGCCTAGTTATGAATCACTGGCCCGCCTAGTCTGCTTCAGAAACTGACGGCCGCTCAGCTACTAAGCTTCGAGATCGAACATAGAGTAATATCAAGGACCTTTTTTCGATCATAAAATAAAGTATCTTTCCCTGGTGTTTGTGCTCCAGCGCCAGAAAAGTGGTAACTAATTCACTAATTGTGGTCCTGAAAATTAGGGGGCGAAGCGCAGGAAAGAAACCCGGGAATCATAGAACAGTGGGCACGGTCAAGCGGCACTCCAGAAACACAGCCTCTGTTCGTCACTGATATCGAATGCAGGTCATATCCTACCATCACATCCACAGCACAGAGATGGGATGAAAGATTTTTAGTGTCACGTGCAATAAGTACTTGACAGGTTTTGTGTCTTGGAATATTTAAGACTTCCCGCTAAAACTCTATTGCAGGTCAACAAAAAGTCCGCTTCATCTGCATTCCAGGAGCCTTAATAACATGTTGGGCATGATATACAACTTCATATAAGATGTCTGAGTTTGTCTCCTATTTGGAGCTTCACTAAAGGGGCCAGCTCTTGTTTTTCTATTTAGTCAGTTAGCACGAAGAAGTTGTTAATGTTCAGAGACAACATTCATCACTGATGGTTTTTGATGAAACATCTCCTGGAGAGTCTCTGCGTGGTGTTGGATCCAGGATGCATGCAACTATCAACTCTCAGCTTATCCAGGCGGTCATCTCCTTGACCTTAGTTTCGGATGGCATCAGTTCTGGCGGAAATGGCTGAACTCTTGTCCCATGGACTCTAGCTTGCTCCAATAACAGCTGGAAAATGGCTGTCCACCCGGAAAAAGCACAAGCACTCCATGCCACTCGCTGGTCCTCACTTAGGGAAGAAAAATAAAAAGAAAAGGGAATTGAAAAAAAGGTGGAATGCTGAAAATTTCAAGGCGTGGTCCATGGACCAATACAAGATGCGAAATCCCTCATGGAAAGGTTGTTGAATGTTTTCAAGCATTCAAACGTTAATGTGTTCTATTCTTTTTCATTCTTCCTCTCCTGTAGCTACAGTCAAAGTGGTGGTATCATCTTAATGTTAACTTGCTACGGAAACCAGCTAGGCCCCAGTACTGGGTGAAACCCGAATGAAAATTTGCAATCTGGCTTTACATCTGGATCCGACACTGGCGCGTGATGATGAATTTTCGGCCCTGGTTTTACACATAAACCAGGGAGCTCGACCTACGGAATGGTTCTCTGTCCACGTATGTGCATGATGTCGTGGAACAGGTCGTCAAGCATAGCCAGTACTACCACCTTACGCAGCAGTCCGTCCAAAGGGAGACTCGGGCTTATGAGGTGGACCGATCAAACGCATCCATGCATTCTGGATTCTGGCAATGACCTATGGCATCAGATTCGTCATCTCCTAACTTGAGTTGTAACTCTGTACTGCTCGTCGCTGGAATTGGGACCTATTTCAAGCCCTTAACAGTTCTTTAACAATTCGTTTTACAGAGCATGAGATTTTGGGCTGATGCCCCGTACTTCATACTTATATTCGTATCTGTCATGCATAGGCGGATAAATAATAGAACACTGCCAATCAGATCGATGCCTTGCTTGTCCGTGAGAGTGGAGTGCAGGTGCAAACATATGCACGGCAATACCGACTAGCCCTTCAACCGCAAAAGAAAGAATAGTTAGAATGTTTCCCTTGCAGAGTGTTTAAGGCAGCGAAACACAGTACGGCTCGGGTAGTTGGACACATGCGATGACGGAAAGCAATTTTGCTTCATCTACTTTGTGCCTTGGCGGTTGTAGCGGTCGGCACCTTTCATTTTTCAATATCCATTATAATTTTATAATCGCGGGTAGGGCGCAAAATGGTTAATGGGATCAATATCCACCCGCCGCCGTCGTGTGCACATTCGGTTTCTTTCGCAATCGACTGACGCTAGGGTGCTGGTTTTATCTTAAATTAGTAAGTTCATACCTAGGTGGCCATACCCCCTTGGCCTGTACGCAGATTTAAGGCCCAAATCATGACTTGAGGCCGTCATACGTTTCCAGGGCCGCCAATTTGATGCACCTGTTGCTCTGGCTCAGAGGTAGCCGGGAGCCATCTGTCAAGATTCGAGGGGAAGAAATAAAGGAGCTGGGTTGGCGCTGTTCAGATGCGAGAACGCATAATGCATTTATGCAAGTCGTTCAACGGCTTGTGGATACATGATCGCTGTCGCACAGCTATCATCGTGTTTAGCGTCGAGTCAATTGCGACATCCATCGGGACTACTGTATGACTCGACGTTCCAGGTCGCCAGGGGTGGAGTCGCGTCCTTAAATGTTTCGGGGATGCTTGGAAGGATGCTTCTAGGGGATCTACGGGGTCATGGAACACGTACTCCTATGAACAAAGAACCCCCATCGTTCCAGAAACCGCGATTCGTCATATTGCTTCCAGCTTGAAAACGATTCCGGCGCCGAATGGTCCGTAATGGCGCGAACAATCCGACGGGTTTCTTATATTATTTTATTTTATTTTCTGGCGGCAAGGGCGTTTTAGATTCGAACGAGGCTTGAGCACCCAGGTCTGAATAGAAGGCCGACCTGTGTCAATTATTATCCTTCGGCTGTATCGGAAAAACAAATTTATCTTAGCTCATTCGCAGTGGCGTCAAGATCGGTCCCGAGAATCTGTCTTTGGAACCCGGTTCTGCGAATTCATTCGTCAATCAAGTTAGAAGATTTTAATAGCGCGAGGAAAGTGTCAACTAAAATGCACCGCGCAAACTGTACGATGTAAGGTAACGAGGGCGCTCAAACTCCGCTATCCTACCATTGCTTTCGACCTTCGATCGAGATCCGCTTTTTGGGGGGGAACCCCGGCAATTAAGACAAATCTTGACCACATTCCTGTTTCTCCTTCCGCGCACGGACGTCAAAGCGAGAACAACCCAATGTGTAGCATATGAATGTCGACCAAAACATGCAGATTTGTCTGGATATTCCTTGAATCTTGCCAGTAGCGGCATACGAGGCATTCCTCAACGTACGTTAGCGAGCTAGAAGTGGCGACCCAGTTATTCCATGTAGTCCGGCAGTTAGTATACACATTGTTGCAGCCAACCACGGTGGAGGTGATGCTTACAAGCTGGCGTAGAAAAAAGGATGAATATTGGCTGCGGAGTCACTCCGTTTAGCACTCGCATTCACTGGACCAAGTGCGGACTCTGAGTATTGTATGCATGCATTTTGTAGGCCCATTCATATATAATACAAACCCACACATCTCGAGAATATGTGATTTTTCACGAAAGATATATCCGAAACCTCTTTCGTGATAATTTCTGCAGCGCACAAAACGTCCTACTCCTTGGCTATCAGTGTCCATTCTCGCAAATATGTACGGAGTTCAATACTCATCAGAAAGACTGATAGCGCTCTTCTGGAGAAATATTGCTGTCCTTGCCGCTGCTCTCTTATTCAGATGGCTATGGCGCTGGAGGGAAGGACCCAAATCCGGCGGGCTTTCACGGCCCACGGTGTTCGATCTGGAGAAGATAGCACCATACCCAAGCGAACAAATCAAAGGATTCGAGAAACACCGGATTAGGATGGCCCTGAAGAAGATGGATCGAATAAACTGGTTGACCGTTGACAGGAACTATTGTTCTTTGTATGAAATTCGCAATACCCTGTTCAACACGCAGAAAGAAAAGATGGTCCAGTGCTTGCCGGAGGCGCGAGAGGCATGTCAGGAAGCATTGCGAGAAATTGTCACATTCCTTTGCAAGAGATATCCAGCGATGTTCGAAACATACGCATCTAGCTCTGGGCAGAGAGTTAGAAACAACAAGACTGGGGAAGAGTTCAGCCTTAATGGCTGGGACGACTCCCTCTCACCCCTTGAGATCGCTGCCAGATTATCTATGGATGATATGAATATTATTTTGAAGAACAAAGAGGGAATGCACTACATGTGAGTGCTAAATGGATATAATAGAGTCATAACTGCAAATTGACAGATGCTAGGGCGGCAACTGCCAGCTGCTTCCAAATTGGCTGGCGCGCAGATGAACGGATTGGGGAAACCATTGCTCGTATGCACGCCCCTGTGCCGCAGTGGGAAAAAGAAATCGGATATGCTGCTAATAAGTATGCCCATCCACTGATAAATGGCTTTTAAGCACCGTACTAACTGTCTGATGTAGGTTCATGACACGATTGGCACCGGAAATGCCAATGGAAAGGGCAAGCTACTTCATCCAAGTCAGCCGTCCCGGGCAGCAGCTCCCCGAGATTCTATTTCAACCTGATGGCGTGGTACACACGGACCTGGAACCGCAGGCAGAGCATCTTATTATTCGAAAAGAAAGGCAGTCATTCACACGACTTCCAAAATCCGGAGCCCTTCTCTTTAACGTTAAAACGTCCCTAACATATCTACCAGATCTCCCGCTCGAAGAATTGCGGAACATGGTTAAGGAAATAAACAGCTGGCCTGAGGACATGGCAAAATATAAAGGAAGAGAACACTGGGGTCTTGTAGTGCATGAGCACTGCAAGAAGCGGGAGCGAGATGAGGTGCGTTAGGTGAAAAAGATCAGCACCTTTTCCTTAAGCACCCTGGGTAATTGCGCTATAGGATAATGGAAAAAATGGGAGGCACTATCTTATTCGATGCATTGACCGAAGGGAGTACATAGCTGCATTCACTGATATCCGACTTGTTTTGATGCTGTGTGATGTACGACGGAGTGGGCGTTGTGAGTGTAATTTAGTCAAGGTGCTGACAAAGCAGAATCCCCGCGCAGGAACAGCAGACAAAGCTCTCCTTCACAGCATTCAAATTGGATTTTGTAGTTATTATCTATCAGTAGATTCATGAAGGACTACTCGGATTTACTAAGATTGCCATTGAAAGGGCCTTTGGCTCCAGAGTTGAAAGTATAAGTGGATCAAACGTGAGAAATTACTTCTATCAGCAGAGATAACCCCAAACCCACTCATCGAAGGGGCATGTATGTCTAATACATCCAAACGAATATCCAAAGGTGCTTCTCCTATCTGGAGGCTCAAGGTATATAGTGTCTATAATATAAACAACTGAAATCGTATAACGCATAAGTATCTTGATACTTGCGAAGGCATGACTACAACAGCCTCATAGCTTGCTGCTACTGGCACGCTTATCCTGCTTGAGGCGAACAACACCCTACCAGAGGGATCATTAGCATCTGTAAAGAGAGTGCTAGTATTATAATGTTTGGTTATCATACCTCTTGCACGCATGTAGCAATCAAGGTCCCGTCACGGGCCCACATTTTCTGCATCACAAGTCCTCTGCCCTCACCAGCCCAAGGGCTGGTCATCTCTGTGAAGATCCAATCATCGGCCCGAAAACGACGGCGATCGTGGAAATAGATGGTATGATCCAGACTGACCATCATGCCAATTTCTCTTTTTGGGACCATGAGAGCTTGTGAGTCACCGGCGGCTGTGTCTTTCGACGCAAGCTCACGGGCTTCTTGGTCGGCGAGATCCTTAAGATACTTGGTAATGCTTTGTTCATCAAGGTCTGACGGGTTTTTCAAAGCGGATAGTGTATTCTTCAACGCTTGTGGCGATGAGAATCTGGGAATGCTCTGCACCCGCGCTACCGTACCAATGAAATAGCTGTCTGACATGTATGCCAACGCAGACAAATGTGCTGGAAGTCCGCCTTCCTCGGAGATCTTACCTCGCGCCCGGACCCACTGCAGGACAGCCTTTTCCTCAGGTCGGGACGGTACTACCCGATGATATGTTAATGAATACATACACAGGCAGTTGTAGGGGCGTGTAACGTTAATAGTACTTACAATTACCAACATCAATGCGTCTTGATTCAAATGGGCCTCTTCCGGGAGTTTCATCATTCTGATCCGGAAATTTGTAACCCTTTGGTATTGGGGTCTCGTGCTTAACGAGATGCTCTCCGCCGCTGCCCTCGCGGTCGAAGCTTAGAGTAGTGGTGAAAATCGGCCGACCCTGCTGCCTGGCCTGCACCGTGCGCGTTGCGAAGCTCTTCCCATCGCGAACCCGCTCCACGTGGTATAAGATCGGAAGCGACGAGTCTCCGGATAGGACGAAATAGCAATGCATGCTATGAGGTAGAAAATCGGGTGGGACAGTGAGCTGTGCAGCTGCGAGGCATTGTGCTATGGCAGAACCGCCGTATATTCCGCGCGCTCCCGGCGGGTGCCAGAGCGGACGGGTGTTGGTGAAGACATCCTGTATTTTCGGCCATTAGCACTTCGGCAGATTGGGCAACAGAAGAGTCACGCATAGAATCTGCGGTAGACGGATCGTCATTACGACTTACTGGGCCAATGTCAGTAACAGGAGTGAGGTCTAGGATGCTTTCAATAGCAGATTTTGAAGGATCTCGCGGAGGCGGCTCAAACAAAGTGACTCCCATCTCGAGGTCGACTGATCAACCAAGCTGCCAAATCGTCGGGTTGGAGGACGTGTCCTTTCGCAGGTTCCAGTAAATATCAAGATCTTGTCGAGAAGAATAATTAGAGAAGTCTTTCGGCGATCGGCCCAAGAAATAAAGCGTCATCTTGTGAAATCGGACGCACTGCGTCTCTGACCCTGACTGGGCTGCAAAACTGCCGAGGTCCAGCATCGCGGAGGCCAAATCCTCAGCCTTGCCGCCCCTGGCCCGCTGATGACTAAGCGGCTCTTGAAGGAGGACTCGTACTTAGTTAGTTACTGGTTCTTCTCCAGATTTCATCCATCACCTACTCCGTACTCACACATATTGTTTCTCTTTTCAGGCTCGCGAACTACCTTGAATTACTGCGGGTAGGCCTATGCCGATCGTAACCTGGGCCAAATACAAATCCAGGCGGCATCTCAACCCGTGAATTATGCTGCAGAATCACAAGGCCACAAAGCCTTGTTGAAACTCCTGCGCGGAAATATAGAAAGGCACTAGTTACAGTCCTTCACGCAGTTGGAGGGGGCTACAGCAGCATCTTTGGCTGGCTTGGCGTCAAAATGCTTTCCAATTATCCCCCAGAATTTGATGGGCCAGATGAAGTAAATGGAGAGGAGGGTGGGAAGACATCTCTAGCGGTGGCTAGCTAGTTAAGCGCCAGAGGCTGCGGACAAGATGCTGCGTGCGCACCTCAGGATTGAGAAATGTTCTTCAAACCCGGAACCCATCGCAGTCGGCCTTAAACGAATCCTGGGCAACATCCACTAGGAAAAGGACTTGGCCAGAGCGAGGATGAAGGGGCCATCATTGTTGCCGAAGACAAATTCTCCAACCCCCACAGGGTCTACGATAGACACACTATTCAATTCTCCGAATGGAACAGAGATAAGATGAAGGTATTGATTGTCTCATCTCTGATTTACTGAACTCACTAAAGAAAAAAAGCCCCTTTTCAACTACCCATGCTTCAGAACCACTGCCAGCTGGACGACACCAATATCTTGACAGAGAATTCCAAGCTTGATCTTTACTACCAGCACCAATAATGTCTGCAGTCTCTAAGTCTGAAATGAAGCTTCCGCCCGTCAAGGCTTGAAGTGGCGACGACGGACCCCTTGCGACACGCCGGTAAAAATAAATATACTAGTGACATGAAGGTGTGAAGACCTTGGAAAATTTGAGGAGCGGAGCCCGTAGGCTCCGAATTGAAATTGATTTCATTCCAGCTTAATCTAGCAAGGACTAGCAACTACTACCACCTGCTACAAAACTCGACCCATATGTACACATATGGCTTCTGGTACAGGAGAAAAGAAAGGGGCTTCCAAATGACATCAGCCGAGTCCACATGATCATATGTGATGAAAACCTCTGAAGCATCGCGCTTCCTAGTCCGCCAGGAGATATCCGCAGGACGATGCGTGCTTCATAGGAGAGCGTAGAACAAAACGTATGGCACTGGGGGTTTTCCCCGGATGCCGCATATTACTCAGTCTCTGGATGTCAATCCAAGTCGACCAGTCACTATAATATGTTAGACTTAGATCAGGAAAACTCGTAGGAACGCTACCAGCTAAAAGGTTTCTTAAGCTGCTCCTAAATACCGAGTGAGAACCGGTTTCAGGGAAACTCATGAGAATCGGCTCATACAGGCAAGTAAAAGATCGTCTCTTCACGCAGTTGCGGCAGCGGTGATCCCGTTTCCAGAGACCCGCCGTTTAGAAGCGTTCTCAGGTATTTCTTGGCCCTAGGGAGAAGATTTGTATCAGTATATGAAGCTATGCATCCATTGCAACGTAGCTGTTTTCTCATCCGGGCGACCTCTGGGCTGCTCAGCAAGTTAGTGACATTTTAGGCGGACACTTACGTCCACGGCGTCGATGGGTCTTTTCGTTGTAGTTGGCTCGACCTTCTTGATTACTTTCTTCTTCGGACGAACCGGTCGGGTCTCGCCAGGATGAAAGACATCCTCCGGTAAATCGTAACTGCAATTATTTGATTAGAATTAATTAATATCATACCGATATTATGGTGTGACGACATACTTGCGGACGTGTGTTATTGTTACGTCGTTGATGCCAGGTTGATATTGTGCCCAAGAAGTGCACATGTTTTTAAACATATGGGTCTCAGAAGAGATATCTAGAGATCGAGAAGCCCCTGCGAGAGTCAGTTGTATCATGGTAATGATTCGGGGTCAAATACCTGGAACGAGCGGTTTTAGTTCGAGTCCGATGTAATATGTGGTGGTGTGGAGAGTGTGATTATTAGAGTCTTCGGTTTGCCCCAATCCGGGCATATTTATAGACCCGTTTGCACTTTCAAGAGCTGCTACATGTGCTGGGTCATTTGTTTCGTCAGTAGTTGCTGTTTTCGTTCCTTTGACCTGAAACCGCGTTAAGCCACTCTTCGCCACCTCAATCTCTTTCTCGTCTTTGCAGCTATGTACCCGTTCAAACCCTTTGGGAAACGGATGGGCCACATCGATGGACGCCTTTTTATCCAAAGCAATAACCAAATGTCGAAGTTTCGCTTCCACTAAGCCAGACCAGACCGACTGGGCCTCTTTGCTTGTGCTAGATGCAGTTATGTTGAGATAATATTTGTAATCTTTGGAGAAGAACGTATGTTTGGCAAAGAGGTCACTCCACCTAAGCTGTCCTAGAAAGATTTTCTCAACGATATCACCACCACGCTTCAGCTCTCGAAGGATGACAGCCTTGGTTGATAGAGAGACATTGTGTGTTGCACACATAGATGGATAGGCGGGAGTAATTATGGGCATAAGATGGAACCGGTCCCCATGATAGATCTATAGTCAAAAATTAGTAAGTGGGGGGAAACTTAAGAATAGGGCGGGGGATGTTACCTTTGGGTTCCAGACTTTCATATGAAGCGGGCCATCTTCGATGGGCTTCAGTAACACAGGCTGTGGCCAATTCCAATAATTCATGATGCGGAAGAATTTCCCAACGATCACGGAGCCGGTGGCCTGGGGGTAAAGTTGACATACTCGTGCAACTAACATGGCCCATGCAACACCACCTGGGAATCCAACAACGTTCGAATAGATAGCCCGACCTGCACAGACGTCAGTTATAGGGATATAACCATCTGTCGTATAAAATAGGCTTACTTTGCGCCCAAAGTTTTATAGCTCTCAGAGCAAGTCGAAATGTCTTTTTCTCCGGGACTAGTTCTAGGATTTCGTCCGTCACACGCGTTCCGTTAACGCAACGTATTTCTCGCTCATCTAAACCACGCAAAAGCTCCTTGTTTCGTAAATCAAGATCCGGGGGGATGGAATGGACGATTAAGCGCGCAAATATCAGGTCGATGCTGATGCCGGAAAGCTCAAGTTTGATAATCGGGACATACGCATCCGGGACTGGTGTTAATTTTTCTATGGAGTCTTTGGGAGCCATCCGCTCTAGTGTTGGGGGGAAATCCAGAAAGAAGTCTTCTATTGCGACATGTTTTGGGCCGACCACCAGCGTATCGATATCAGATCCTATCCCGGGATTTTCGTCAGTTTAACATCACGACTCAGCGTACAACACCGATAGAGACGAGACGAAGGCGCACCTGGCCCGTAGACACCTAGCCTATAGCTTCCATATGCGAATATTTTCCCGCCAGAAACATCAATTGCAGCTTGCGATAGCCCCTTTCTCCGCCCGACAGTTTTAACAAACTCGACCGTAACGCGTTGGATAAGGTGAAGCATTTGGTTTCTTTGGAGTCCGGGTTAGCCTCCATCATAGCTTCCAATAGTTGGGACTACGTACCTTTTCTCAGTCTCCGACGGAGCCTCGAAGTTGTTCTGGCGTTTTAACTCCGCGATTAGATTGTCGTTTTCTGCAAGTTCGGATGGCGTTGGTAGTGCTGTCGAAATTGGTGGAGTGGTTCCCCATTGCTTAACCTGCGGAGTGGCCATCACTTTGGCACAACACGTTGATCTGAGTCAAAATATCTAAAGGAACAGGAAAGGGGTAGGGAGTAAGTGCGAAGAAAATGTCCAGGTAGATGGTGAGGTGTTGAGTGAAGTTAGCACTGAGCTGCGACATAAAAATGCAGAAACTGGAAATGGGCGAATGAAAGGCAAAAGTATAGTATTACAAGGGAAATACAAAGAACCCTCCGAAACACCAACACAGATGAAGCTGACGATGTAGGGAGAAGGAAAACTGATGGAGAGCAGAACACTTTCAGGGTGCAAAGTGAGTTTGGTTATCAGCCGCCTGGCGATAAGACGCCGCGCGACGCTTTGGTCACGTGATAAGAAGTGGCAGCCCTACGCGTATCAACATGGACAGAGCATCGTAACACGAAAAAAAAAAAAAAGAGGAACAATGACCAGTGACATTCATCTTGAAATATTATAATCAATAACTGTGGATAAAATCAAGGTTGAGTAAGTATATCTTCAATGCAACTCTCTCGACATCATTCATCCACTTCTCAGGTACAAAACTAATATTTGTATAAATGCCCCTTTGTTGTTGATCTCACCCTGGAAGCGGCAAATATCTAGGTTCCGCCAATAGGAACTTCACTGAAGAATTTGGCCATTTTATCGTTCAGCCATTTAACATCATCCTTACTATCTCCAGGACCTCCTGCCCAGTCTATCGAAATGATCAGTCTCGCACTTTATGACCTGGACTTGTGGGCAAAAGGTTACTTACGGCCCCAAATGGACGGGAAGACATCCAGTTTACCAATGCCTGGAAGCATGTTTGCAACTTCATACTCTGAATCTTCTGGCCTGCGGGGTTTTTTTTTCATATGTTAGAGATGATTTTGCCCACCCCAGTGGATGGTGTTCGACTCACGGGAAATATAAGTCGGTCTTTCCCGGTAAGACCAAGGCTTTGGCTTTGATTCCCTTGAGGGCCAGCTCAAAATTCCCATTGTATGGAGATTGCTGGGAGATATCCCCGTCTTGCCATGTCTGAAGCATAGCCAGGAGATCATCGGGGTCTACAGGGCGGTATGGTTATTCGATGCTTTGGCAAAGGAACCAGGGGTGGGCATTTCCTCTATTCCACTACCTTTGGGCGCAAAGTGGCCTTCCCAGAAGTTTACCATGAAGTCTTCGAGACTTTTATATCCTAAATCCTTCTCATACAGTCTTTCGCGATAGAACGCTTGGCTGAAGCCCCTGGGTTCAACAAAGGGTTTAGTAATGGGCCATGAGGTGCCTTGCATGCGAAAGTACGTACCATCCAGCATATACCCTAGCGAAGGCCTTTAACCCTGCTTCCCGCTCATCCGGTGTCCACTGACGGTATGGTCCTCCATCCACCGCGACTCCACCTGCTTCGGACAGCGAAGACTTGAATCTCTTTGCGGAAAGCAGGGCGCTTTTAATCCCTTCAAGGAAGATTTTATTGTGCAAAGAAGTCTTCGCAGAGCCACAAAAAGGAACAATCAAGTCCACAAAATCGGGATATTGAGCGGCCCACTGGAATGACTGGCCGGCACCCATTGACCAGCCTATGACAGCGCGAATATGCTGGATCTCAAAGTGCTTTGCGACAAGCTCATACTGCGCTCTGACATTGTCATAAAAGGAGACGCGTGGAAATGGTCTGATATGGGTATTTGAAGGAGAAGACGACTGGCCATTGCCAAACAGTGCCGGGATGATGATGAAATACTTGTTTGGATTAAGATGTTTGTCGTCTCCGATCAGCCAGAAATTATGAGATATCACTACACATATAGAGAACTTCAGTGGTAGAGCTGCGAATGGTGGACGGGATACTCACGTGCTGAGTACCAAGTTGGAAAGACAATAGCTGGAGAGCTGGGGTGTCCAAAGGTCTTGAACGCAATGTGAGCGTTCGGGATAGTTTCTCCGCTTTGCAAGGACCAGTCTCCCAAGGCGAAAGTCTCGTACTTGTCGTCAAACGCCATGGTGCCTATTGGACTCTGTTTTGCTTTCGAGTATAGTGTGCCCGCCGGCAATAGTCACCCTTCTACATTCCGCCCATAGAATACGGAGGGAGTCGTTATGCATATATTTATCCGATCGTGATGGTGGGGAGATGGGATTGATGGTTCAGCTTCCCCGCATCTGGGGGCAATTGTGAATTCAACCCGTTGTGAATCTGCCAATCCAAAAGCTTCCGCTCCCCTCCCCGAAGGTAGGGCCCAGGATGACTTTAATTTTATTTTTACAGACAATCCCAATCGAGAGGACTTGGTGTGGAGGTTAATCCCCGTGATACCGTCTACTGCCTACGTCATGCGTTGGAAGACGGTTCTAGCCACGAAAGTCACGGATAAGCAGCAAGCCTCGAGGAGCATCGAGTGGTTAGAACGCCATTACTCCGTATCCAGGCAGGGTATATTGCAGGGCCCTTTCGGCTAAGAGATATGTGCTTGAGAAGACGTGAAGGAAGCGCGTAGTTTAGGTTATACTCCGCCTGGGCAGACCTCACTGAGAACACCGGAATGGGAGAATGATACGCCGAGGCTAGGCTTGGCGGCATCCGCTCAGGCGCCACCCAACAAGCCGTATGTTACGTACTTGCCAACGGTCTTTCTTGGCAATGGGCCGCGATGGGACATTACTGTAAGGTGTTCGTGAGGAGGCTTACCCGAGCATCGCCTGTACCCATGTGAAAGCCAATGGGATCGCAATATTTGGCCCTCGTCTGAGCATTGTTTCACGGAGGGATTGCCTTAATCCTCAAATCCCCATGTCGCCATTGGCCCGCCGCATAAAACAATCCCTCTGTGGTGCCAGCTACCCTTTGGATTTGGGAAATGCCCCTGCCGCCTCCCCAGAAGTCTGTGCCAGCACCCAGACAGATCAGGTTCGTCTCATCTGACGGCCTGCCGCAGACGAAGAGGCGCAGAATCAATGCAGCGTTGGTATTCCCTCCTCAACTGATCTGGAGCCGACAGCTGCGGAAGCTAATACGTGAGTGTGCGACCGTAGATGCCGAACATGTAGACGTCGCAAAATCAGATGCTCTGGCGAACAGCCAGGTATAGTAAACCCGCCCTGGAATGCCTTCGACAAGACACCTGTTGGTGCCTATCTGACGCAATTCAGTGTGCAAGACATGCTCCGACCACAAATACACTTGCCTTGGATACGGCGAGCCTGTTACCGTTTCGCAAACTGCCTCCCGCTCATCACCCCCCAATCATGAGCCCTCATGTTGCGCCGAAACTAAGAAAGGTGGTGGCTCACCAGAAGCGACACGGTCGGGCACATCGATGCCAGTCCCAGATCCCAGTCGGGCTGACCCCGATGCACGCAAAGCCAAAGAGGATCCTAGCCATCAGGAGCACGGTGATCACCAGCCAGAATCTAGCAATAGCCCTAGCAGCAGTGAGTCTCCTGGTTGCCGCATTGCTACCTTAGAGAGCTTGATTGCTGAGAATCTACACCTAAAAGACCATTCTGCCTTGATTTCCAATCGTCGCACCCATGTTCCCTACTTCCGATATTTCGGACCCACGGCAATCGTGCCGGGTTTCAAGCAAATGGTACGTAACTCCCACCCCATCAAAAGGTGAGTAGATCAAGGAGTAAATCGTGTTTGCAGGTGGTGCGTGTGCGGGAAACGAAGAAAAGCAATCCGTCCCTATCAACTGGTAGGCAACATGCGCGATTGTCAAAAATTGTCGCCGATTGCTAACGTAACATTGTTTACTGAAAGACTCTGCATCGTCTTCGCGAAGTCCAAATGTTCCGAAAGCTGAGGCCGTTTCATCTACGCGTCGTGCCGCCTCCGCTTCGAATAGTATTCATTTCTATGACCCAGAGGATAATCTACCAAATAGTGAGGTGGTTACACATCTATGCGAAGTTTTCTTCACTCATCTAGGTTGCAATTTTCCGTTCCTGCAACGGGACAGGTTCCTGCAAGATTTGGCAGAGAAGCGACTTGAACCAGTCCTTGTGGATGCGGTCTGCGCACTCGCAGCACGATTTTCTTTGCACCCGCTTGTAACCACGGGATCAGCCACTGAAACAAACCATCCTCATCATGGCGATGTTTTCGCCCATCGTGCCATGTGTGCCGTGGTTGACGCTTTGTCCTGCCCGACCGTGGCAGGAGTGCAAGCATGTCTTATGCTTGCGTATGAACAATTTGGATCCAACCATGACAGTGGTCTCTGGATGTACTTGGGGATATCCATTAGGATGGCACAGGATCTGGGAATGCAGAAACTGGAAGGCATGAAGTATAGATATGGTCGCGTCGGTTTGACTCCGAAAAGCGTCAAATCTGGACAAGCCGGTCGGATTGATGAACGGCAGACTGATTATGACAGCGCAGCGAGTGACTCGAAAGAAGATGGCAATAAGAAAGATTTAGATCTCGAACGAGTAAGGGAACGCGAGAGAGTAGACACGTTCTGGAGCCTCTTTCTGGTGGATAGGGTCATCTCATCAGGCACGGGCCGACCCGTTACCCTTCGTGACGATGATATCGAAATTTTCTTTCCATTGCAGTCCGAGTCCCTGTTGCCAAACGGTTGGCCAGCTCCTTTCCCTGCATTGATTAGAATCATACATCTATATGGCAGAGTGACCGATCTGCTGAATGCCATCAAGGAAGTTAACCACGTTACTCCTGAGACCCTAAAGCAACTAGCCGGCATGGAGAGCGATTTAACCGGTTGGTCAGCCTGGCATTGATACTAGACGGTGAAAGCTGACCGCTTCATAGGTATCTATCAGAGATTATCCCCCAAGCTCCATTTCAACGCCGTCAACTTTCAGAATTACGTCAAAGCAGGCGAAGGAACAAACTTTATCCTCTTACACTTTGTATGTTTTCTCATTTGCATCCCTGTTCATCTTACTGACTATCATCTAGTGGTTTCATGCCTTGATTGTCCTCGTTCATCAGCCTACCCTATTACATTCTTTTAGTGGGCGCATTCAACAATTATTTCCCAACAGCCGCGAACTCTCCATGTCTTCGGCTAAGACCATAGCAGATATTCTTGCTTTCACCGAATTAATAGATGCAAAATGTTTCATTGGAACTCCGTTCACAAGTCAACCTACATATATAGCTGCATGTGCCTTCTTGATGGAGAGTGCTCTATATTCCATGCCTTCGTCTCGCTCGCAAACCCCTCCGGTAGAGACAGACTCGGAAGATCGACCTGGGAAGGCGGTAACATCGGCGGACGCAGCAGTCACGTCAGAACAAAGTTCCAACACAAAACATAGTCTGCTAGCAGCTGCTGCGAAGGAGCACTATCAACGCTGCTACAAAGCGCTTAAGTCCTTGGAAACGTACTGGGAAGGCACTAAATATATTCTTAATGTCTTAGACCAAAAGTCAAAGGGTATATGGGATCCCCAGCTCTATACCGAGGAAGAAATGGACCACGCCATTGAATTTCCTCCTCTAGGAAACGGGTTTGCATCCCGAGCATGGCAGAGGATGTCGACAAGCAAAGACAGCATGGCAGCAGCAACGAAGGATGATAGGCAGCATGACATAAAACCTGATAATCAATCTGCCGATAATGATGGTGCGGCAGGCGTAGCCCCATCTCCCAAGACTAATCCAACCCAAGGTAGGTCGGCGTTAGCATGTATTTCCTTGGACAACATGTGCCTAACGTATCGTTTTAGCTATCGGCTGGGCTCTTACCGGTGCTACTGGTTCCTCACAACCGAATCTCAGCTTTCTTTATCAGATGCCAGCAACACAACCGAACGAGGCAACGATGTATCCTTTGTCACATTACGGCGGCCAGTGTCAGCCCGTGGAAGTTCAAGCAAGCCCTGGAGCTTCCGCCCTCAGTTCATTTCCGCACGCAAAGGCACCATACGAGGCGGGAAATACACTACAGCTACCCTCTCAATTACGCCAAAATCCACTGCCAAACACTTCAGAGTATTCGCGTATAGGCCCTGGGACCATATCTCCGTCCAACCCTTCTTTTCCTCTTTCTAATTCCGATTTCTCAAGCCAGAGCCCCCATGGCTCTCAAGGCTCCTTTCAAAGTGCGTCACTAAATACCACCCCGACACCTTATTCATACAACGCAAATACGACAATGAGGGCTAATCATCGCCGGTTAACGAGTAACCCTTTTGGCGATTATACCAATATCGACGCTACTGTCCCAAGCATGACAATTGAAAGTCAAGACATAGATATGAATACACTCCAAGACCCTGATACCTTCCCATTCCCGCTGGATGGGGAGTTTATGCCCTGGTTGGAATATTTACCGGAGGATATTTTGCAGTACTTTGGAGATCAAGGATATCGTCCGCTGGTATCTCCGACTGAACCACCCGACCAGCAACCGCATGGAGTTTAAGTCAGGCTCGACGATCCCCGAGCATAGTGTGGTTTATTTGGCGACATACGCCTGTGGCTCCTCTAGGAGGAAGATGCCTAGCCTCACTTTCACGTACTCCACATATTATTGTTTATCCTATACTCCGTATACCACATCTCTACGCCTTGACCGGCGTCAGATTATGATTTGATTTTGTTGGTTACCACTATTTCAGCAGGCCTGGTGTTGGGGCATGAGGTGTTTGTTTCGGCCGAAAACCTAGACCTTTTTTTTTTTTTTTGTCTAGCGTTTAAATGAAATGAAGATATAGCATTCCATATATGGCTGATGATTTCACACTCTACATAAAGACCTCTTTTTTAATTCTTAATTTTTAATTGACCATTGATATATTTCTCGTCGTTGGCGGCGCCCGTTTGACCGTTAAGCGTCAAAACCCCTGGACGAAGATCCCGGCGTTGTCCCTGGCAACCCGCCTGCGACAACACAGCAAACAACGCAACGACTCGAGAAGATAACGTAAAGAACATGAATTCCGAATTCCCGAGGACAGCCAGCGGTGTCGATAGTTTATTTGTGTTACGGAGTACAAATTTTCGGGAAAAGGACTTGAGAGTCTCAAGTTGCTCGAGATTCCTCTCCCTCCCTCTCTCTCTCCCCCCCCTCCCCCACGCAACGCTCATCGACCAGCGAAGTGCTAGGTCGCGAACTGCGAAAAGGATATTTCAACGGGGTCTATGACCTCATGGAAAAATCATAACTGACTTTTTGTCTGAGGCTAATTGTTTTTAACGGCAACGGATAAATGGAGCATTTGACGAAGGAGAGTCTCGACGGTTCCATCCACTCCCCTGATCTCGATCGCAGTTATTTCTTCTCTGGTGAGACGAATGAGGATGGTTTGATTTACCCGCCCTCGTCGGAAGAAGGGCCTGGAGGCATCCCGCCGAAAGATGACTATAACGAAGGACTTGTGAGCGACAATGGTGGAAGGAGGTCGCATCGATCGTCTATATCTTCGATCCCGGGATCGGTGGTGGTGCATCCGCGCGCAGACACGCACCATCATGGTGAAAATGATGTTCTTTCCGGTCCTCTAGCGGGAGGCGCATCCGGCTTGAACAAGAAGAACAAACCGCATTCTTTTATCACGCATGTTCGAGACCGAGAATCACCCTTTCGACACCCGAGCTCCGTACGTGCAATGCAGATGGGTGACGAGGATTCCGAGCTAGATGCGCTGTCCCCTTCTTCAATGACGTTGAAGGGGCGCAAGCAACGTGGGCCTTTTCGCGGCCAGTCACCTTGTATTTCAGAGATGTCGATGCCAATGCGATCGGGAACAGCGTCGCCTTCGTCGTCGGCGAAGAAATACTACCGCTCGCCGCATACTAGGTCGCCGCAGATGATCGTTCAGGAAGAAGTGAAAAAGGACTACCCTTTGGTACTGCTACATTGTAACTTACTGGCCCCATCTTTGTCGCTGCCGCCCCGGCTAGGAACTCCCAGCCCAGAACTGTTGAGGGAGGTTCTCCCGGATGTATATTGGCGAAGGTGGAAACTTCTTGAGGATAAAGTTGTGGGCTCAGGAGTATTAAGGGATCGTGGGGTGCTTATATCCCACCCACAGGAGGCCTACGACGTGCTCGAGGAAAGACTACTGGAGAGCCTGGAGTTGATCCGGCCAAGACTGGCATACGGCCATTTCTTCGGCTCCGAGGACGGCAAGGGCAGCAGTGGCGACAATGATAGCGATGAGGAGTCGGAATGTGTTATTGATGCCGGAGAAGGCGCCAAATGCCGTGATTGCGGCCACACTGTCCTCAAGAATCCAGAAGGCGGGGAGAGGAAATGGGAAGTTAGAATTTATGCCGCTAATGGATTAATGAGGGCGGGCGCATGGGCAGCGGCCTGGAAGGATATGGAGAAAGTTGACGTGGAGGTTGGATTGTGGTTGCCAGTGGATATCAGGCGAGACCTTGAGCGAAGGATGCTTGAAGAAGAAGCCTTTCGAATGGAAGCGGAACTGCGTTCTATCGAGGAGGAGAAGAGACGAAAGGAGGTTTACGGTGACGCCGGGTGTCCATCCCAAGAAGAGATCGATGGGTACATGGATTCTCTCGACGCCGGAATCCCTGGGGAGGATCACCAGCAGCAATCATCCGCCCACGCGCCATATCCCATTCAATCGGATTCAAACGGTGTGGGATTCTTAATCAAAAAGTTCCAAAATATGGAGTTCCACGCCCTTCTCACTCATTACAAGCGGGTATTGTTCCGCGATCCTGTCGTGACGCTCATCGCAGGAGTTCTCCTTGTCCTCGCCGTCACATACGGACCATCCCGGGCTCCAAGCATAGCGCCTGCGAGCAGTGCTCCGTCTTTCTCTCCTAACAATGTAGTGACGGTGACTGCAACACACACACCTCCGGCCTACACTACGACTGTATTTACGTCATCACCAGCGAAGAGCAAGTGGCCACACAGCCCCGTTATCCCAGCCGCAACAGTTGCAGTCAATTGCTCGATACCCACAGGTACTCTTATCGCAGCTGAACCATCGTCGGAACCAAAACCGGTCCTCGACATGAGACCGATGTCGCCGGGAACTAACGGTCAAGACGGAGATGAGCCATCTCCCAACGCCGAGTCATGCAGCGATGATAAGTTGGATTCGCTCCCCTCTGCTCCTAAAATGGAAGAGCCAAGCTTAGGGCTGAGGCCCCTGGAGGAAGAGATTCACTCACCCGCCTAATCCGGTTTGAATGCTGGCTTCGGGGATCCCGGTCCAACTTTTGGAAGCGTTGTGGATGTTATAAGCTCTATGGATTTGATTTGTTGGCTTTTCTGGGACGATATCGAAATAATGTAGCGAAATGAATGTAACCTGATGGATTAACGAATGACTGTTATGTTTTGTCTCTTTTTGGTTCGATTTCTAAGGTTGGATAAGCGATGTCGTTCAGCTGTGCCTTGCCTATGTAGTCAGTTGAGAATAGTCAATTTCGAGAAACAATATATCTCTTTACAAGTTACAAGCGGTGCTCCGGAGCCTATTTGGAACATAAGTTGATGGTTCTGGCATGAGCGAGCCCAAGTCTTCAGGTCTTGCTTGGAGAAATACTACGTCTCTTTCAACCATTCTGCTCGGATTATGTTGCTGCTATGTCCCGTGTCTCATCCAGAGACAACGCCTTTCGGAACAATAGAGGTTGCTGTGGAGTTTGATACCTCGTGTGCGCGCTGCACCACATGAAGCACGAGGACGCCAAGAGCTTTAGTGACTGACAGGCGCATGACGCATGGAGGCGGACAGCTTCCACCAGAATTCCACCAATCTCAAGAAATACAATTTGTCAACTGAGCATTTGATGGCAATGCAAACTTGCTGTTGAAATCGTAAAATCTCCAATGAGGACTCCCCCGGCTCATTCGAGCCAAAGCTCGGATACCCCGGACGCTCAAGGCCAGGAGCCTTGGGCTTTGAGTTTTGACATAACCGGCCGTCGGGATCCAAAAATAGGATATGGCGTAATTGTGGGATCGGCAGCTGGAAAGAGTGCGCACTCGTGAGAGTCCTCTTGGCAGTTGGAGCCAAACAAGATCGAAACCTCGTATTCTCGGGGCTTTTTTTCACCGAGAAGAGGCGGCTGGTCAAGCTTTCCCACGCGGAGAGACCGCTAACGGTTTTGGTGCAAAGTGATCGTCTGAAACATACGCATTGGGGGAGCAAGATACCCGAGAGACATCTGAGCTGGCGATGCAAGCGAAACATACGAGCTCGGGTTTGCAGAAGTGCTGAGACGCGCTGGTGCAAGAGACTTTGGAGTTGGAGCGCTATCAGCCTCTTTGCGCTCAGGCTTGTTTGCACTCGGATTCAAAGGATGTCGAGACAGATCTAGCTTCCAGGCTCCGCCTGGATATGGCAAAAATGAGATCAGGAATTCGTCGTATAAATATCCTGCCGAGGGCTCCCCTTTGGAGATCACAATCAGTCCTCTAGCAACCTGACATTCCAGTCCCCAGATCTCCAGTGATAGCAGTACTTAAGGCATATACATATATATATACTTTCTCATTCTTCAAACAAGATGAAGATCGCGACCCTCCTTTTGGCAGCGGCTTCCGCTGTCCTGGCCGCCCCGGCAGCTGCCCCAGCTCCCGCCCCAGAAAGCGAGCTTGCAGCCCGACAGACCAACGTCATCTACCCACACGCCACTTTCCGTTACTGGATCAACACCGGCGAGGTGAAAGAAGACCCTCAGGACCAGCTGCTCGTGGTCAAGGACGGCAATCGAAACAACGAGTCAAGCACGATCGTCACGTTCCGCGTCGGCGAAGAGTATGAGGGCCGCACCTGCAAGCTTCTCTTTGACCTTTGGGACCGCGACTGGTCAACCGGAACTCAACAGATGGATGTCTTTTCCGTCATCGACCCTCCCGGGCAATTCACCATTTTGAGCATCCCGAGCGTTCGTCCCGCATCCAGCCGAGATAAGCACAAGGGACGCATCTTGGCTCCCAAGCCCGGCAGTGCGACGTGGCTTCAGGCCTACGACGGATACCCCGAGTTCCCTTGCCCCGTAGGGAAGCTGATGGGTATTGAATTTGTTGGTGTGGGCGACCGCGTGGAAGTCCGTTGGGACATTGGTGTGACGGGACCACGCCTCCAGCCATTGTAATGACATGAGGCGACTTGAGGGAAACGGGGGTATGGAATAGATAGAAGAAGACTGCTTTGCTTCTTTTTTGTGCTCTTTTTTTTTTTTTTTTTTTTTTTGGGTGCGAGTGAGAAGGGCAAACAGATGGCAGGCCGTTAAATCTCATAGTATGATCAATACTGTTTATTCTGATTTGATTTTATCTTTTTGTAATGAGGAATCTGATGAATTGTACCAATGATTGAATTCACCATTAAGACCTATCAAGCCCAAGTAGGATAGAAACGAAAATAATTCACGATAAGCTGGAAGGCGCTGAGGATCCAAGAGTGAGTAACAGATGATCATCCCAGGCAAAATAGCCAGTGAACCTTGAGAGTGAGCTCCAGTCCGGCCTGCATTGAAAGAAAGACCGGTATCACAGACTCTCGTGGGCTGTCCCCAGACTCCCTGCCATTGCCATCGTCCACCCACGCATACAAGGCGATATCCACCAGCCAGCCAGGCGGAGAGAGAAAAAAGGGGAAGGGAAAGCAAACAAGCACAACAGGACAAACAGGGCAAACAGGCAAATGTGTGGCCGACAGTGCAAACAATGCAAACTCTCACCGATTAGGTAATTGCCACGGTTCCTGGCGGCGCTAGGCCCAAACAGGCAGGTCCGCGGCCGGGAGATGCCCGAAACTCGGCTTAGCATTGGCTGGCGAAAAGTTTTCGGGCAAACCTTCAATTTTTCACTCTTTTTTTTCTCCGAGAATTAGAGGACAAGACAACAACAACAACATCATCATCATCATCGCTGCCGCCCAACTCCTTCGCTCCGTCCTCCTGCTTTAACCTCTCCCTCAGGTCTCTCTTTTTCTTTTAGTCCTTCACTCCCCACTCTCTTCGTGGTTTTTTCGTGTTTTAGACCGTCGCAATGGCTGCTACCGGATCCCCCAAGTTGGACAATGTCGTCCCCATCGCTCCTCCGGCTCCCCAGATGAGCGGACTCCAGCTCTACTCCAGATTCGCCTTCGCTGGTGCTGTCTGCTGTTCGGTTACTCATGGTGCCCTCACTCCCGTTGATGTGTACGTATCCCTGTGTTGCTGCTCCCGTTTTGCGCCTTTTCACGCTCTTGGGGAACTCCCTGCTCTTTCGCGCCGAGACTTGCCGTCGCTAACTCAGACGGACAATATGTAGTGTCAAGACAAGAATCCAGCTCGACCCAGTCACCTACAACAGAGGCATGATTTCTGGATTCAGACAGGTTGTCCAGAATGAGGGTGCTGCTGCCCTCATGACTGGCTTCGGTCCTACTGCTGCCGGTTACTTCTTACAGGGTGCGCTCAAGTTCGGTGGATACGAATTCTTCAAGAAGCAATCTATCGATCTCCTTGGCTACGAGACTGCTCGCGACAACCGCACTGCCGTCTACCTTGCCTCTTCTGCCCTCGCTGAGTTCTTCGCCGATATTGCCCTCTGCCCCCTTGAAGCCACCCGTATCCGTCTCGTCTCTGAGCCAACCTTTGCCTCTGGTCTCCTCGGCGGTTTCAGCAAGATCTTGAAGAACGAGGGTGTCGGTGCTTTCTACTCGGGTTTCGGTCCTATCCTCTTCAAACAGTGAGCCCTATCAGCACCCACCCCCCCACACCATTCAAAGCTGCTAACCTGTATGTAGGGTTCCATACACCATGGCCAAGTTCGTCGTCTTCGAGAAGGTCTCTGAAGCTATCTACGGTCAATTGGGCAAGGACACTCTCTCCGACGGTGCCAAGACTGGTGTTAACCTCACCTCCGGTTTGATCGCCGGTCTCGCTGCCGCCATTGTTTCCCAGCCTGCCGACACTATGCTCAGCAAGATCAACAAGACCAAGGGATTGCCAGGAGAAAGCACTGTCTCCCGCCTTATCAAAATTGGCGGTGAACTCGGCCTCAAGGGTTCTTTCAGCGGTCTTGGTGCTCGTCTCTTCCTTGTTGGCGCTATCACTGCTGGTCAATTCGCTATCTACGGTATGCTTCCCCTTATCGCTGTTGAACTTGAACGCATTCTAATTTACCATCTGTGTTTAGGTGACATTAAGAGAGTCCTCAATGCCACTGGAGGTGTCGAGTTGGCTAAATAAACGGGCTTTCTGATGCATTTCGCCCAAACCTCCCACCATATCCGACGATACCAACTTTTTTCCCGAGTTAAATTAGACCACTGTCCCAGCCGCTCCTAGGTTTTTGAACCTGGTTTTCTAGATTTGTTCCCTAAAGAAAATCGATGCGCCAGCAGTTGCTTTTTCAAATAGAGCTACTACCCCCCCAAGTGATTGTACCGTTACATGTATGACCACTTTGTACAATTCGGACACCTTTTCTTCCAAAACAGTTTGTGCATCTGAGGGCTGGATTGCATTGCATGTGGGATAGATTCTTGTTTTGGACTCAAAGATACTTTTTGTGTGCACAAAAGACGTCGTTTTTTTTTTTTTGATAGAGCTTTGATCTCCTTTGTTGTTTGGTTCCTTTTTTTTTTTTTTTTATTTTGGAAACGTTCTTTAGCAAATTAATGAATTCGTTTTTGTTTCCCTACCTCGACCGCATTCGATTTCAAGTCCGGGAATCTAGGTGCCCGATTTGCCGAAGCGAATGGAAGAAAATTGTAACATGAGGTGCATATTAACCAATTGGTGCCGTGTTGATATAGAGCGTATGGATAGAGTCAAGACCTGGACAGCAAATATCACTTTAGGGGCCTCCAACCTCTTTACGGAAAACACATTTCCCGATGTCTAAACAGCTCATTGTTCCATCTCCAGTGTCTCTCATTCGAAAATCAGATGTTCACTCGCCCGGTCCCCAATATTCAACGATCTCCAACCTTCTCTCTCCTCTCGCACCTTCGAAATGGAGTAGAATTGTTTGTGAAAACTTCGGATACGCCTTGTGAAATGACGAGATCATTCCCAGTGATACTATAAGTTATATCGTAAATACATGGTGGTAAGTCGTGTCGCGAAGCCTTCTGGGCAGCGTAAGGCACACGAGCTTCTCAGAAAAGAATAATGGGAGATGATGCGACAAGCAACTGGCAGGTAATATTGTTTATCACAGATCCTGCTATCAGAGCAAAGAGATTGCACAGAGCTATAGACCTGAATAAGTCCAGAGGAAAGCTGGCCTTTCTGCGACAGCGTTGAGAACTTAGTATGCCAACGCCTTGGATTGTGACAAACCCGACAGAACCTGCTTCATCAGAACGCACTTTGTAGAAAAGGAATACTCCGTACGGAGTGATGCTGAGGATATCATCTCGTACCTCCAGACAGCCGTCTCCGCGATCCAAGTCAACTTGCGTCATTGGAGTGTCAAGGGGACCGAGCCCGGATAGTTGGTTAGTTATTAGCGTTTTGGTTGGCGAGCGACCTCCGAGCTAATCAAATGTTTTACCACATCATCATTCTTGCCAGCTGGAGTCAACCTGCAGTGACATGATACGAGCCCAGCGTGATACAAGACATTGTCCAGTCTCATAGCTATCTTTCTTGTCTTGGGCTTCATCTCGCCAGACACTTCAGTTATAACCGCTGCAATCTCCCAGCTTACCACTTTTACAGCATATGGAGTTATCGGTATAGAAGTACCCTGACAATGTCCGGTGCCGAAACCAGCACGGCCGACTTGTCTTCGGCGCAGCAGGAAGCTTTGCAGACGTACATCGCAGTGACCGGTCAGGAACCTTCGGACGCCATACCACTTCTCCAACGCTCCGAGTGGAATGTCCAGGTGAGCCTACAGTCTCAAATCAGCCAAAATACCAGGGGCCGTATGAAAGGGCCTGCCTGGGTCTGACCAGCTTCATAGATTGCTATTACAAAATTCTTCGATGGCGAAGGCCCTGATCTCCTTGCCGAAACTCAAGCTTCGATCCCTCCACCTGCTCCTCGAGTCGCGCAAAACTTGATGAATGACCTCGACGCCTTCCCCCGCCCATCCTCTCTCACATCCCGCGGTCTACAGGCCGCACCAAGAATATCCACACAGCCGAGCGAACCAGCACCTTTCCGGCCCCCTTTCCTCCTGGCGATCCTTTTCTCGCCTTTTAATTTCCTGTATCGAATACTGGCGAGCTCTCTTCGCCTCTTTGGAACCTTTTTCCCCATCTTACCTCGGATGTTAAATAATCTTGTCGCGTCGACGATCCAGGACAAAGGCACCAGTGGACGGAGATCATTGGGCCCGAAAGACACGGCAGTACGCTTCATTCGCGAGTTTGAGGAGGAATATGGGCCAAATTCCTTACCTTGGTTGGACAGTGGGTACAACATGGCGTTGGAAAAGGCCCACAGGGAGCTGAAGTTCTTGCTCGTTGTCTTGCTATCACCGGAGCATGATGATACGAACGACTGGGTTCGGAACACACTTCTCAGCGAGGAAGTACGGGAATACTTAACCGATTCCACGAATAATATCTTGCTATGGGGCGGTAACGTTCAAGATTCTGAGGCATACCAAGTCGCCAATTCTATACGCTGCACGAAGTTCCCGTTTGCTGCATTGATAGCCCATACTCCAAGCGTCTCGTCCACTGCTATGTCCATTCTGGCCAGGATCCCGGGCTTAACGTCATCCTCGGGTTTTCTTGAAAAGGTTCGAGCAGGTGTAGATCAGGGAAAAGCTGCCCTCGATAGGGTTCGTTCGTCCAGAGCAGAACAACAAGCTACCAGAACACTCCGAGAACAGCAGGACTCTGCGTATGAACGCTCTCTCGCCATTGATCGGGAGCGAGCCCGACAACGTAGGGAGGCAGAAGCTGAGAAAGCGCGATTAGAGAAGGAAGAGGAAGAAAGACAAGCTGCTGCCGAGAAACTCGCTCGCAACCTAGAGCAGTGGAAGAGATGGCGCGCCCAATCGATTCCTGCTGAACCACCGGTGACAGATAAGGAGGCGGTACGGATTAGCCTTCGATTGACCTCCGGAGAGCGAGTGGTTCGCCGGTTTGATGGGCATGCCGATATTGAGGAGCTATACGCTTTTGTGGAGTGTTACGACATCCTCAACCCGGAATCCAAGGAATCCGCCTCCTCTGCAGTGGAGGTGACGGAGCCTGAAGGCTTCGAGCATAAATATGGCTTCCGTTTGGTCTCTCCTATGCCTCGTATCGTATACGAACTCGCTGCGGGAGGGTCAATCAAACAACGAATCGGCAGAGGGGGTAATTTACTGGTGGAAACGATAGACGACGATGACTCTTCCGAGGGCGAAAGGTAAAATTCTTATATACTGGAACCATAGAGCCTCTGCATTGTATAGCCCGTCGCTGGCCTTAGTTCTAATGGAGTTAGGGGTTAATAGGGGGATACAGCTTGGTCCTCCATTTTTTTTATTTCGCTGTCCGGTTTCTGATTATTGCTTTGCTTGAAAGACTGCCATGTTCTGCTTATGGGATTTCCATTCTGACGTGTTATTGTTATAATATGCGTCTAGCGTTCTATCAATGCTCGAGCCATATCCGAAGTTGAGGATTGCCTCTAAGAAGTTATTTCTAGCTCAAGTTGCTTCGTTTACAATACTCTACGCCTTGCCTGATTAAGTATGCCGTCCATCTAGTCATCGAGCGAGAGGCCCGGCAAACCATCCAAGTTTGCTTCACAGAGAACGCTCATCCTTGAACACATCATCAACTAGAAACAGGAACCGGATACGGTCTCATCCCTTCGGTCCCCAATATAACCACAACAGAATCTGCCCCTAAACCAAGCAAACCAGCATCCGAAGCCGCAATCCGCTGAAGCGCCGCTAGTCCCGCCGCGCCGCACGGGCCCAGCCGGATACCCTGAGATGCCAGATACTCCACAGCTCGGTGCGCCTCGAGATCAGACACGGTGGTGCTGGCATCGACTCCGGCGTGGAGATCGGGCCAAGCTGTTAGCGACACGGTTCCGCAATCGAGCCCATTCATGATGGTCCCTGTGGTCTGGAACGGGGTAAGTTTGCCTGCGACGAGGCTGGCGTGTAGACATGCGGCGGTGTCCGGCTCGACGGTAAGAACAGACACGGGTGGTTCTACTGATTTGCAGTGGGAGACGACAGCGTGGGCGAGTGAGCCCACTCCAACGGGGGTGATGAGGAGTGTGGGTGCCAGAGAGCGGTTCCTGACTTGGGAATCGATTTCGTCGAGCATGGTAGAGTATCCCTCGACGATCCAGCGGGGGATTCTCTCGTAGTTTTCAAACGAAGTGTCTTGAACCAAGATTCCATTGGAACATAACTTGGCCTGCTGGTCTGCCGCGCGAACAGCGGTGTCGTAGTCGCCCTCTATGGCGGTCACGTTGCACCCTTTCTCGCTGGCGATCAAGTCCCTGGTATACTCGTCGAGGCGCCCGGGAACGTATATCTCCGCACTGATGCCTAATAGCTTCGCCATTCTCGCCACGGCTCGCCCGTGATTGCCGTCCGTTGCCGCGAAGAGCCTGATCCCTTTGGCTTGAGCATCATTGGCAAGATTGTCTAAGCGGGCCTCATCTAGTGGGAGGTCTAAATGATCCGTCACAGCTCGAAAGGTTCCCCAGGAGGCGCCCAAGATTTTAAATGAAGGCAGGTCAAATCGGCTGCTTTCATCTTTGATAAACACGGCCTTGATCCCTAGGGACTTGGCGACGTCGGGAAGAGGGATGAGTGGTGAGGGGGAGTATGATGGAAGTGACTGGTGGAACTTGTGGATGTGAGATGAGTTCGGGGAGCGGGACGGAGGGATCTTGTAGGTTCTTGCGTGAGGATTGGTATATGTGGGGCTGTTTCCAGCAGACATTTTTGTGGTTCCAGGAGAAATACTATCCAGATCTCATTCCTGAGAGGACTGGTTTCCTGTGTTTTGATAGATGAGGTGACAAACCCGCGCCCTTCACATCACCGGGTCCTTGGCGAGTTTGTAAAGCGTTTTACTCCACCAGGAGATTTATCATCAGAGAATAATGGCATGTCTTTCTAAGTGAATTTTGCAAGAGGTTGGCCTAAAGCTGATTCCAGCTTTTTGGTGGGAATCCTTGAATGTGTGGATATGCCGCTTCTGGCATCAGATACTTAATTAATGATTTGTCGGTGACTTTACAGGGCCCCAAAAATCGCATGTTGCACACTGAGTTGATTGCCATTGTTTACTCCAAATTCTCTCTGTCACCACTCCTATTTTGTGCTTCAGGAGTACCATCATGATAGCCAATCATAGGCCTATCTCCACCTGTGCGCTGTACAACTCCGGTGCGTTTCTCGAATTGCAATAATCCGGAACAGTGCATAGGCCACCACTAAAGTGGAAACAAATCTACCTGTATCTGTCCTATAAGTGGCCACTTTTCCTCACATCTACCGTTGGCTCCCAGCTCGCATCGAAATGCGTCCACGAAAAATTGTGCGGATGAGGTAGCAATAAATGTCTCCTAGATCACCAGACTTTTTGCTCATTCCTCTTGCTGTACAAAAGGATTGGCTATCTCTTCACTTCCATCCACAGGGGAGATTAGGACTAGCAGCGTTCCACGTGCAACAATCAGGCCTAGAGAGCGGGTTGTCTCGTTGCCCTCGTCATCTGGTCTAATTGTTAGCTATGACTAATAGGTCTCGGGCGAACATCGTAGGCATATGCGATAGAATCCACTTACCACGCATGGTTTCCTTTACTTCGTCGAGGACGAGATTCATGAGTTGGTCGTACCCTTTAAGGGTGCCAGTAACTGTAATCAGATATGCAGGTCAGATTGCTGATGCCCTACAGGCCGAGGCAATAAAAGGGAGCCCAATCAAGTTGCAATGCTTTGCAGAACCGTTTGGCCGTCTGACATGGTCCCATGTAATTGGTGTATTCAAATATCAAGACCAAGCAACGTCGGAACCGGAAGCAGAAAGGAGCCCACTGCGCCACAAAAGCAAGGGATTCGGGGAATTAAAAAAAAATAAAAATAAAAATAAAAATAAAATAAGATATCAACAATAGGATGTGATCCTGAACCCTGCCCTTTCATAGACAATGTTTGATATTCTCCCCAACCAATGAAGAGAGTAGAAATGCATGATGGAACATGGCGGAATCAAAACTGGACGCATATCTGAACAGCAAGGACGACAACTCACCTTCTCTTCCACCGCTGAACTTCACATGGACCTCCTTGTCCATATACTTGGTCAAGTCCAGGATGTTCTCCTTCTTCGGTTTCTCCTGCTGCTGGCCTTGCTGCTGTTGTTGCTGCTGGTAGCCTGCACCGCCACCAGCTGCACCGCCACCTCTTCCACCTCGCCCGCCGCGCCCTCCGCCGCCCCGGCCGCCAGAGCGAGAGAAGCCTCCGCGAAAGGAGCCCCGTTCAGACATTTCGCGTTCCCTGTGTCTAGAATGGGGGCCAAGCGGAATTCTACCGTGTTTCGAATTCTCGGGAGAAATTTGATACTCTGGAAAAGAAATCTGGGCAGCTAGGGGGGAAAGGATGTGTATATGATTGGCTGGGAACGGGATATTGAGGGAGGGGAGGGGGGAAAAGGGTATTATGTATGGAAAATTGCTCCCAAACTCGCAAATATTGCCTGTACTGCGTGTTAGGTCCAGAGCTGCTAGTGCTGCACTCCTTGCCTTCGATGTGCTTCTCCTCTCTGTGGACAGCTTTTGCGCGGTTTCACAACGGCCTGCTGCTCCGTCGCAAATTTGGGAAGTTGGGCAACCATAGTGACTAAGCCAATCCCAGCTCGAGCCCTGGCCGCTTTTAGTAAACCCCAGCGCCCGCAAATACAGCACCGATACAAGACACTCCGATACATGACGGTATGGTAACGGTATTCTTTGTTTTGACTCTGGCGCCATTGAAGATCTCCCGGTTTCCAGGCTGAAGGGGTGAACTTTGCTCCAGAAACCCCCAAAGTTTACTGCTGTCCTCCATCCTCAAGCACGCGCGCAACCTCAACAAGCCTCTTTCTAATGGGTATCTTATTTCATCCTACAAGCTGCTAACAGGTACGCAGTATCTATACAAACAACGCTAGGGCAGCTGCTCCGGCTGTGGCAGTCCCCACGGTCACCAATCCTGCCTGAATAACCGCCTTGTTGTTCAACAGCTTTCCCCATGACCAAACCATATACTTTGTTCCATTCAAGCAATGAAACAAAAACGGCCATGCAATGCTAAACTTGGCTGCTGCTTTGGCAGCAAAAGGCAATGCGCCAAATGCTGCAGCAAGAGAGGCAGATGACAGATCCCAGCCCAGGTACGGGGAGACAACGTATGCCGTGCCGAAGAGGTAGAGCCCCCCCGAAAGCATCATTCCTGTGAGACGTTCAAGGGAAGATACGACGGAGGTTATCTGAAATTTGTAGATACTGAGATGGGGAGAGACTGGACGGTTCAGTCGCTGGGCGGCGAGGATTCTCTGGCCATCTTGAGGTGTTCTCACCTCTGGGCACCCTTTGGTGGACTCGAATCTGGGCGTGTTAGAATGACGGAAAAAAGAGGACCCCACAATCCCCCGACCCCTCCCCCCGACTTACCGGCGCTGATTTGGGACGGCAATGGTCCTTGGAATCCTGGCCGCCTGCCCGGCAGCGAGCCGAGAGAATCGCAGAGGCGAAGGTGATACTGATATTGTTAGTCATTGCACGGAGTACTCTTTCCTGGCGCTTCGTAAGTAAATGATTGGACAGTTAACGTACATATTCGTAAAGTCATAATGTCACTTCGGTCAGCCTTTTGACGGAAGAAAAAAAAAAGAAGAAGCGAATGATCTCAACAAGGCAGATTGTAATGAGTGGCAAGATCATGATCATATTACGGAGACTGTCGGATCTCCTGAACTATAACTAGAAGCTAACTATGCTGACTAATACCTAACTAACTAATACACGTGACACAGATTATTTAGTCCGTTTAGTCCGCGGAGCTGTCGATGTACTGCCCATGCGGAGGGCCTCCGTGCCTTTCACAACAGCAACGGCGTTGGCCCACCCCTGTGACACTTCTGAGGCCATACTCCGTACATAATCGTAATTCTGACCCTGAATGCTCTCCGTGGCCCCGTTCTGTGGCCCTTGCGCTAAAAGGAGACCCCAAAAGTTACACAATAGGGTCTTTGTAATACATAGTAAGGTACACCATCTACAAGTATTAATCTGATAATTCAAGCGAAGAAGTGTGTTTTGCAGCCTTCATTTTAAATAACAATATGTAATATATGCTGGTATTTTTCAGAGGTGTTTATTGTGTAAGGGCCAAAAACACCCGGGTCACGTGGTAAAATTGGTGGCGGACTTCAAATTGCGCAACGTCGTCGTCGTCGTATTGTATTGGTAACGCCCTTCTCCATGTTTCGTACGGGAGGCGCGGTTATTCGAGAATGAGCCGCCCTCTGTCGGGGGGCCTAGATCTAGACGCACCGACCATTCACTGACACGAAGGACGAGCAACCTTGAAAAAGCTGTCATCAACGGGATTTAATTGGATGGCTGGCCCGCGACGCCGCGGAGCTGGCCAGGCTGAACACGCCACGACATGAGAGTGATGAGGGCGGGCAACGAAGACGAAAGAAAGACTCGAGAAGGTGTTTTCAACCTCTGATCTCGACTAGGTAGTTACCCGCGGCCTAGCTGACCCAATATCAACGTTGTCGGTCGGACGATTGGACCCTGCTACATAAATCCCCTTCTTCTGCTCGGGTCCAAATGTTCATCAGACGGGAATTCCCGAGTAAGCCATTACTGGGTCCCAAGAAAATGCAAGGGCATTCCAGAGATGAGAGTTAATGTTCCATCTTTTGGAGCTGCAAATATAGAACCAGGAGAACTGGTTGATCTGAGAGATCTTTTTGAAACAACACCACTTGTTCCAGGCTCTTCCTACCCTTGACGAAAAGGATTATGGCCACTAAGGCCGATCAAAAAATTTGGTGTATTTCTAAAAAGGAAAAGAAGGGGGGGGGGGGGGGGGGGGGGGGTTTTGTTGTGCGCTGCGAAACAAAGTGCTTGTCCTCAATACTTTGAAAGTTCACCGGAAATGTCGCCCAATCACTGTGGAGCTAAATGGTTGTGAAGGGGATCAGGAGCAGCCTGAGAGAATGGCAAAGTGGGATGGCATTCAAGGGCGACGGAAAGAACTGCAGATGCGGAGCGAAAGTGAAGTGCATAGACAAGAGAAGTAGTGACCAGCATATGCGCCGTGAAAAGACAACTTATGAACAAAGGTATCTCTGCGCGCCTTTGCTTGTGGACTTGAAGGGGCGGAGTTAGCTGCGGTGCAGTGCAGGTATCAGGCCCCTACCCTTCCCAATACATGCCGTCCGACGTAGAGACATTGGGTATCGCCATCACCCGATTACAGTACGAGTATGTGGTGCCGCAGCTCAAGAGGCTAAGCATGGAAAACCCTCGGTAAGCTCGACAAGATGGGTTCGGGAGAAACGAATCCCATCCCGCGAATATACTATATGCAGCTCGTCATTCCGTACTCCATACATGGTTCATTTGAAGCCAAATTATTCTCATCCTCCGATATGGAACTGGGGGACGGACCGTATGTAGTTAAGTGAAGACAGTTTGGAACTTTATACCACGGAAGCTCTGTGCGGTGTAGGCTGAAACTTCGACCACACACCCGACCCACCTGTTCGGCGGCCGAGGAGGGCTGTGCGCAACTGGTTTACTGCGCGTGCCGTAACTCAGCGAATCGGCCACGTGAGACGCTAGACCCCTTTTGGGGAGCGGAAAGGACCGGGCGGGATTTGCTGGGTCACGGGCTTTCCGCCGAATTGCGAGGGCCACAGCACAGCGCCAAAAGGTCAAAAGAAAGGAAAGGCGAAGTTGCTCGCAAACAAGGCGCAACGCCCCCCCACCCCGTCGCACGCGGCACGGGAATGTTCTCATGGGAGATATTCCTTAAGATACACTTACCACCGAACTCATACCATGAATGGTGTCCGTGGGAAGCAACTACGGAGTAACTACTCTGTACTCCGTGCATACAAGTTAACAATGACTCCCAAGGCGGGCAGGTCAACGCAGCTTGGTAATATTATGTGTGTGAATGCTGACGGGTGCGAGGCTGGGCTTTTTCAACGGTCCTTTCGGCAAAGGGGACCATGATTTCCGATTTCCAGTTGCCGATGTGTCTCTCCACCCCTCTTTCATCGCAAACCCTTGGCAAGTTTGCTTGGGGGGATCTTGCGGCATAAATAACCAGGGCAGTGTCGACTTCCGTGTCTGGAGATTCGCTCGAGTCTTTGATACCGAGCACACATTATCCATTTGGCTGTTACCTCTCCCTGGTATGAGACTCGTGCCCAAGTGCGCCTTGAAGAGATATGGATATTCCTCCATCCTGCCCCAAAAAAAGGGTCCAGCTCGGGGGGGTGACGATCGCACAGTGCCTCTTCGGGTGGCTGAGGCTGCTCTTGACGGGGGTGACGGTAACTTTTAGCGGTGTAATGACGCCGTAACAAAACAGGGGAGGAATTGACGGGAGGATTGATTCCGGCGAATCACGCTCCGTTCCTGTTCTCAGAATAGACGTATCGTGTAATTGGCGTCGTGTTTTCCGTTCCGTCTTTTGCAAAGCGGTAACTAGGCCAGTTCAGCCAATGATCGTCCCTCGAAGCGCGGTCAAATGTGGCACAGACATTTCTTTTCCTTTGAAACCGACAGCTCTTTTGGTTTTGTAGCCTTCCTCCCCCCCTGCTAGCACCGGACAGTGGGTTCTGGGACCTCATGCTCCAGTCCACAGCCCAAAAGCTCGGTTTCCTGCCGTACTGCCCGTGTAATGATACCGTAACCGCACCTTCCCTCCCTTACTCCACTCCTCCCCCTCTCTCTCTCGCTCTTTCCGTTGTCATTTTTTTTTTTTTTTTTTTTTTATTTTTTTCGCTGTCGCTCTGCTGCGTGCTTTCCTGAAGCAGGGCCTGGCTTTTGCTTTCCCGCGAACTCTAATTCCGTTTCCCTCCCAGCTCGGTCGCTCCTCCACTCTTCCTCCTCTTCGCCCTCTCCCACTCCCACTCCCACTTCCACTCCTCCTCCTCCTCTCCTCCCTCTTCTTCTTCTTCTTCTTCTTCTTCTCCTCCTCCTCCTTTCCCTCCCTCCACCTCTTCGCTCACAGCATTTTTCCACTTCCCTTTGCGCCATCTTCCTTCCCTCTCTCTCCTCCCTCCGTACAGCGCTCGACTGTCCAACTCTATTCATACTTCCTCTGCTAAATTTAACTTTCCCGTCGATTCATCCGCCTTGTTTTCACCACTCTCACTGTTCCGTCCCGGCTCCGCCAGCCTAGTAACCCAACACTCCGTACTCCGATTCAGCTTCAGAGGGCGCGCTGTTGGCCTTGCTGCACCATCCTAACTTCGTTTGGGGGTCAGGTATCTCGGCGCGCGACCGAAGCCTGAGCCGGTCTCGTCTACAACCGTAGCTTTGCAGCGACACACCTTCCCATCGGAAGGGCCGCCACCTCTACCGATGAACATGGCGGACTCCTCGAATAAGCGCCCTCGATCTCCCACCGGTGACTACCCTCCGATAGCTTCCAAGTTGCCGAAGACATCGAATCACCTTCAGATCAACTACCTCGCGCGCCAGTACGCGGAAAATCTCCCCCTGGTCTCTGCCGAAGACACCCTTCCGTCCATCCTTCGGCTCATCGGCGAATACGACGGCGTGCTTCAGCGCCACGAGAGCATCGCCGGAAATCTAGGTGCATGTCCTCTCGGCCCCATCCTCGTGAAGCGATTCGAGCGCCTCTTCGACAGCCCCCCTCGTGTGCTGAAATCTAATGGAAAAGAAGGCACTCATGTGACCTGGCTGGATGTCGTCGAGTTCGCGAAGAATAAACCCGAGCAGTTCAACTTGGAAAAGACCAGGAATGGCGTCCGAGTCTGTCAGATCTATATCAAGCAGAGTCGCGTGGAGATCTCCGAAGAAGACTATATTTTGATTGCTTCCGGCATGCCGCAAAAGATGATTCCCCCACAGCCCATCAGCGAAGACGAGGAGAAGGAGTTAGGGTCTTTGGAGATCTTGGAAAAGAACTTGTCCCATATCATTCAGTTGGCAGACCAAGGTAAGCGGGGATCCCTTTTTGATCTGAAAGCTTTCCTTGCGCATCTAACCTTTTACAGTGTCCGCTCGCGCGAGACAGTTGAACCATCGTCTTAAGAATCGGAGAAATGCTATTATTACGCGACGAGAGAACGACGCTGTTTTAACAACCCAGGGCCAACGCGCGCTCAGTCCCTGGAAAGATTCCAACGGTGCCACAGCTACCGCGAATGGTCAATCGCGTCCACACTCACCAACCTCGGGGTTTGTGGCTGTAAATTCGCGTCCGGAATCCCACAACGACCATATTGTGTCGGGCAGCCACTTTACGTTTTCACAACCAAATACGGATAATGTAACCATAATCAATGGCACCTCGATCAAAGGAGCCTCACCTAGCACGAGAGCGGAGCTGATGAAGAAGTTCTTTACGACATCAGAGCGCAGACTTTATCCCGACGAAGACCTAGTGAACGCAACTTCCGGTCGCCAAAGCTCAAGGTCATCACGGCCTCGTGCATCTGATCCTGGAGAATACATGGGACCATACGCACCGGTAGCCATTCCTAACACTCCATCATCGCTTCTGCCACAGACGAAGTCCACTAACCACTACGAACGAGACGACGGCGGACCGTACAAAGGCGAAATGGTGAGCAGAATGGAGACACTACAGCGGGGTGAACGTGTGCTTCCACCGTGTGATCGCTGTCGCCGATTGCACATGGACTGCCTAAAGAATTTGACTGCTTGTATGGGATGTACAAAGAAGCACGCCAAGTGCTCCTGGAAAGAGGTTAGATTAGAGGAGCTTCGCGACTTATATCCTCGTAAAAGCCAGGAAATTGCTCAAAGCACCACCTCGGACAGGACTGAAATCGTGGAACGCACGAGTTCGTTTAACCCTGTGAATTCCGAAGGACCAAACCCTACTGCCCGACCAGCGTCGGAGCCGCAACAACCCTCGAGGTCCTCGCCTCCCCAAAGATCGCAGAGTGAAAACATGGTTTCAAGTGCCGGTGATGCCAGACGACAGGAGCCTCGGTCGACTGATGGTCATGGCACCAATGGCAAGCGCGTGGAGGCTGAGGACCCGGACGCTCCGGATCCCCTCGCTCAAGCGATCATGGACACAGTAACGCACCACCAGGCCCGTACCGCTGCTGCAGAACGCGAACGAAGAGAAGCTGAAGCCCAGCATGCGATGGCGAAGTAAGGTGGCCCTGTAAATGACGAATGTTGCAACGCTTTTATCCGAGGAGTAGCCCGTTGGGTGCCATGATAGACGGCAAGAGAAATGACGGTTTTATGCCTGTTGATGCCATCACTTCCGATTTCCTTTTTTTTTTTTTTTTTTTTTGCCCCCTCCCTCCCACACTTTTTTGATGTTTGCCTTCGATGTTCCGAGAAAAATACCTTAATATCGTCGGACTTTGTGTTTCCTATCTCTATAGCTTTGACAGCGTCTCTTCTTATATGGGTCCTTAGTTGCCCCCTTTTTTAACTCCCCATTTTCAAAGGTTATTCCCATTTTCAGCGTGATTTGCGATGTATGTATACGGATAATTGCTCGTGGCTCGGTTTTCTTTTTAGCACTTCGAGTTCTTCAGCCCGCGAAATGTTAACAGCTCAGCTCTGGAGTGAAATCTTCAATCGAACTTGCATATACATTTCCGTACGGAGTACGGAGTACATGAACATTGTGTGCGCATTCCATGTCTTGTTTCACTGCAAGAAGGATCAAGTCGCCTTCTGAACTGCCAAAGGGTCCTCTAAACATAAAGCAAATGGCCAGTCGATCGAGAGTGATTAAAATCAATGCAGACCAGCATCAGACGACCCAGACTGGGCGGACGCCGCGGATATGACTTCTTCCTGCGAAGCCGGGCGGCGGTCGAGACAGTAGCCGCGACGCCCGTTGGCTGTCTAAACTCCGCATCGAGAGCGGAATCGCGGAGACTGATCTGACTAAGCTGACGAATATGGATCGGGACTAGCGCGGAACGAAGCGGCCGGACGGGGAGGTCCGGCTGACATAAGCACTGCGAAAAGTGCCGAGAGGGAGAGCCGCAGCGGCGGGCGGCGGGCAGAAGAAGCACACGCGCGACGGCGACAGCGGGGACCAGCGATGACAGACGTGTTTGTCATCCGCGGAAGGGCGGCCGTCATCGTGAGTTTCTCGGCGCTCGAGCAGCCGCTTTGGGGGTCTCCGATTCGTCCAACTACCTGAGTTTTGGCCCGATGGCGCACCGTGATATCAGACCCATCCGGAGGACGATGAGGTGTGCGACTGGCGACAGGGTGGGTGGAGGCGGGCTAAATATCTTTCCACCCCGCTCTCCAGGTTCTCCGGGCATTGCAAGACCTTTAAATTGTTGAAATTGGCTGGGAGTGCCCGCATTGCTGTCATTCAATTTCTTCTTCCTCTTGCCTCTCTCTCTCTCTCTCTCTCTCTCTCTGTGTGTGTGTGTGTGTGTTACTTTTCTGCGAGTCGCGCTGTATACAATCGACAAGACTGTTTGCTTACATATACACAGCTATCCTTGATACAAACTCGAAAGAGACACTTGCAGCCATGGATCCCTCAAAGGTCACCATCGCTCCGTTGAAGGATCTCACCATTGAGAACATCACTGATAACACCATCCTGATCAATTCGCAATGTCCCGATGCTCGTATGAAGTATGTCATGGAAAGACTAGTCACGCATTTACACGACTTCGCCCGTGAGACAAGACTCAGCACCCAGGAGTGGATGGCCGGATTGTTGTTCTTGACGGAGGTTGGCAAGATTTGCTCTGACGTCCGACAGGTTTGTTTTCCTCTCTTCCTCTCGTCTTGGACCTGAGCGCCTTTTTTTTTTCCCCTCGTGACCCTCCTATCTAACTAGGAATAGGAATTCATCCTTCTCTCCGACGTTCTTGGCCTCTCCCTCCTCATCGACGCAATTGATCACCCCAAACCAGCCGGTTCCACTGAAGGAACCGTGCTCGGCCCCTTCCACACCCACGACGCCGAACACCTCGACTCCGGCTCCAAACTCTCACACGATCCCGAAGGCGACCCGCTCGTTGTCGTCTGCAACGTCAAGGACACCAATGGCAAGCCTGTCGAGGGTGTCAAGGTTGACATCTGGGAGACCGATTCCACAGGCCACTACGACGTGCAGCATGCCAACCGCACCCAGCCCGATGGACGAGGAGTCTTGCACAGCGATGCACAGGGTAACTTCTGGTTCAAGGCCATCAAGCCCGTTCCATATCCCATCCCCCACGACGGTCCGGTGGGCAAACTGTTGATGATGTTGAAACGCCACCCATATCGTCCTGCTCATATGCACTTCATGTTCGAAAAGCCAGGATATGACCATCTGATCTCGTACGCTCCTCCTCTGCCCCACTCAATCCTCCTTACGGGAGAAAAAAAAAAAAAAAAAAAAAAAAAAAGGGCAAAAAAAGGCTTGATGCTAACTTGTGTTCTAGCTCCCTCTTCCTCCGTGGTGACCCCTTCGAAAGCTCTGATGCCGTCTTTGGCGTTAAGTCCTCCCTTGTCGTCGACACCACCACCATCACCGACCCCGCAATGGCTGCTAAGTATGGTGTCCCAGTCGGCACCTCTTTGCTCGTCCACAACTTCGTCCTTGTATCCGATAAGGAGACAAAGGACCTGAGAGATAGAAATTCCACGGAGGCATTGGCCAAGCTGGGCCGCAAAGTGAAGATTGTGAACGGATTGCCAGTTCCTGATTTGGATTAAACAGGAAAATCCTTTTACAATCTTCGGGATATTATTCTTGCTTTGTTTTTTTATATTTACCTCGGGAGAAAATGGCCGTTTTCTCCTTGGTGGTATGTCTGGATGATGCTACGTGAAAATGCTTTTGATATACCGGTCTGGTAGCTCTGAGATTATACCTCCCAACTCAGCTTTTTTTTAAATTTCTCCTTTTTCCTTGGTATAACCACCATTCTCGATTTTGCACCACAGGAGATAGCTGGGTAATTCAAGGGAGCATTCGTGCCATAGACCATTCGGGAGTTGTGACCAGACATGACCAGCGTGACCTACTAGGCTATATTAATTGGCCAATCTCGACCGAGCACAGATCGAAGGGTGCAGCACGGCTACTTGATTCATACAAACAAAAAGGTAATAATATTGGAACCACCTGAGGGGATATCCATCACATACGCAAATACACGTCAGACCAGAGAAATAGAAATTCACCCATCATTAATCATAATATGGACAAAAGAAAAGTGGGAACACAACATATATGCATCATTATCTCCCGATCAACTCCTCACTCTCATCCACAATTACCTTACTTTTCCCCTTTCCGGTATCAACTTTCTTCTTTTCCTCTCTCAAGGCCCTCACACTGTCCTCGTCCTCAACCCAGCCGCCACCAACATCCTCACTTGTCTCCAACATCTCCACACCAACCCTCAAGTTCAATCCCGCACTTAACGCTCTCTGAACCTTGACCTCTCTCTTTTCAGCCACAAGCCCTCTCAACACCCTGACTAGGAACCCGGAAAGGATATCCACGCTCCAGCTATCAGGGACAAGGGAGAGAACCTCTCCAACGTCGTACAGAGGTGCAAAGCGGGTGAGCAGATCGGAGGTACGTTCAACGCGATCTGATAGGTCTGTGATCTGAAGGAATTCCTTCAGGAGATGGTAGAAAAGGTCTTTTCGGTGTGGTGGGACCGTGGTTCCAGGCATGGTGGAAGATGTTGAGTAGGACGATGCAAATCCTCCAAAGAGGCAATATCGGATAGCAGTGTCGTAGTCTCCAAGTCCATGGGTGAGTAAATGAAGAGCTTCGTGGTGGCGGCCTTGGCGACTCCCTAGGATGATGCTTTCGGAGACGAGTTCGTTCTGAAATGGTTCGATGCGGGCTAGGACAGTGGGGATTGAGTATGCAAGGTCGTGGGGACGGGGAGTTGATGTAAACTGGCTTCTGGACTCGCCGCCAAGAAGCTGGAGGAGTCGAAGGCGTGACTGCCACCAATGCTCGGGTGGCGCGTTTTCTGATATGAATCCTAGATATGATGGTTTGGGGGGCCGAAGGGCCCTGTATGTAGAGTATGACTCGGCCAGGGATGCCCGTGCTTGTACAGACGTTTCAAGGACTGTCAGCACCGTGTCGAGATAGTATCCGATGAGATCATCGGCATATTGAGAATACTAGACATATAAGCCTCTGCGCGAGAAATTAAAGAACACGGCACACGTACATTCTTCACAAATACCAGGTGCTCCAAATATACTTGCACAGCACCTGGCGCTTTTGCTTTCAACATGAATACCACTTGCCCTGGGTCAAGTTTGACCCTGCTGGTATCGTCCGCAAAGACTTTTATTCCCAAAGAAGGGTTCCGGGCAGCAAGCCAGCAGCCGTATTCCTCGACGACTTGATTGTCTCTAATTTTCACAAGGTACTTTCGCACCTGCATTTCCGCTGCTGGGACAGATAACTCCCCTCCGGCATCCATTTCGCCCTCAATTATCCTCTTCCACGTCATAAGCACATGTTTGGACATTTTCCGGCTCTGATATAATCGGCTAAGCACGAATAGTCTTCGGTATCTCTCTAGGAGTTCAATCGCGCGATTAAAGTCTCCTTTCCAGTTATCGACCAATTTGTTTAGTTCTGTGCGCACGAAAGATGAAGTGGGGATGTCAGTTGAAAGAAACTCGCCACCATCGATCTCTAGCAATAGGTGTAATAATGCCGCATCCACGCTGTCGAAGACATAATTTTCATCGGTGACACTTCCATAGCCTCGTTTCTTCTGCCATGAGAGCAAATATCGTACGAGCATTTCGAATACATGTACATTCATGCTAGAAGAGACGTGATTTGTCAAGTCGTCACCCGAAGGATTGACCAACGGTTCGACGACCATCGCGAGGCCACGATTAATCCAGATTCCCTGAGGACCCTGAAGTACTTCCTCTCTCAGCAACGGGATCACGAGTAAGACGATTCGAGGATCTAAACCGCCATGGACAAGTGCAGTTTCCGTTAACTTTATCATATCCCCCATTTGCGCATCTTTGTCAGCAGAAATGAGTTTTGCAAAAAGAACCAGGCTCGCCTTCTGCTTGACATAGTTTAAACCAAGGAATTCATTTTCCGTCTTCGGCACAAGAGTATCAATTTCATCCAGCAGGTTTATTATCGCTTTCAAGTCTCCTTTCTGATGATCACTGCTTGTCTCTGGCTGGGCAAGTCGCAGAGAATTTTCTAGTTGAAGCGCTAAGGGGTTTCGAACTACACGCCATATGCAGTTGCCACCCCAGAGGAGGATATTGCTGTGGACATAGCCGAGATTGACGGCAATTTTGGCCTCTTCTTGATTTCTTTGCGCCTCCCATCCTTGCCGAAAATCAAGACCGGATGATTGCTCTATTTCCTGTGATTCAAACAACTCCTTTTCTTTTTTTAATTGTTGGATGGACGCTTCAGTCCTCGGGTCAGCACTCTCGAGTGGAGTGCGAGGAGGCGAGCGCAAAAAAGACGATTTTAATCGCACCATCTGCATTATTTCTCCGACTTCGGAAAAACTCAATTGGTTTGAGCTGACTGTTTTGCGGATTCCAACAGGGAGAGACAGGAAGCTGTCCAACGGGATCGATAACGACGACTTATGTCTGTCATCCCCCCCTGGGTCAACATCCCACCTCTGCGCCTCGATGTGTTTTGAGACCTCTCCATCATTTTCAACGCTAACCACAGCAAGGACGTATCCCTCTTCGGTATCGTTGTTGGCAATAGACTCGGTATTTTCATTATGATTATCAAGCACGATACACTCCGGGTACCTTTGGAATTCTATTGTGCCCCTTGTTCCTTCACCATCAAGGTTCACAAACATACCCACCCCGACGCCGGACGCTTCGGTGCCAGTAATAAACAAGAACTCCGTAGGGGTTGGAGATAAAACATGAGGTTTGAACTTGGAACTTTCAGAGGTTGATGATGACGGTGGTGGTAGTGGTAGTGGCTTTTGGGTCGCAGGTTGCACTCCGGAGCCATTGCGGGAAGACTCAGAAGGCTGATGTGTATGGTTAGAATGCGAACTTTCTGGAGAATATATCCTTGAAACTCCATTGCTTGGTTCGGGAGTCCTCGACAGAGAACGCTCCAGGATCGCGGCTTGGGCACGGCGGACACGGTCATCTGTACCACCAATAAGAGTGTTGAGACTTGAGCTCCTGGCATGTATTCGGCTCTCATTTGGTAACATATTTCCATTGGAGGGTGCCAAAGAAACGGGCGTCGGCGTTCCGTCCCTATGGGGGATATCCTCCACCCGATAGTCAGCCGGTTCCTCCGAGGAACATATCGTGGAAAGAGGTATCTTTTGGCGCCTCTCTACGTCAAGGAGGGAATAAGAATGGCCGTCTGCGACACATGCAATATTATCTCGACGGGCACCAGCAAGACAACCGGGAAACTCTATGCTCCTCACTCGTCGCGGCTCATCTCCCATCCTGACCAGCATTAGGTTATTCTGCCTCGCTATCATAATGACAGGATCTCCCGCTTCTTCCTCGTTGGCTGATTCATTAAGGTCGAGTGCTCCGCTCCATGTGCAATTCCCCACCCTCGCAGTTCCGTAAGCCGGACTGAGCTCCGGAAGAGAGTAGAATGTGACGACTCCATTGCACAAAATGCACGCTTTATTTGCGCGCGGGACGACTATAATCTGCTGAACATCCGTAGGCGTATGCGAATTTGAACTGGTTGTAGTTGCAGCAATTGGTAATCTGGATGCTAGTATGAACGTTGGCTCAGCCGTCCCACTGTCTGCGGCGTCGGCCGGAAGGGAAACGAAGTGTAGAACTTCTCCGAGAGAGGTGCCAACGTAAAGATTACCATCTGCATAAAGGCAAAAATTAGCAAATACTCCCGCTCAAACTGAAGATAGGACATACTCCAGTATTCTACACATGTGATGTGAGCGCCCTCATCGCCTTGCTCTGTCGATACCGGGACGTTATCGACAAGCTGTCTGAGAACATAGGGGCCAGTCTCAGGCGGACTCAGCCGCCGACGTTTTCTGGGCCCATTAATGTCGCCATCTGCGCCCATGATCACCTTTCCCCTTGTCACCGTTGAACTGTTCCATGCGGAGTTGGTTGGTAGTCTTCCCGGTCGCAGTAGTTAACGCCGTAGGCAGGGCAGTTCACGGCAGCTAACCACGGAGGAACGTTAACCCGGATGATACGTACGACTCCACGCGAGGAGGTTGTCACCCTTTGAACAGGCCACTCAATTCTGAGTCCTCGAGATTCCCTAGAATTATACATCAATGACGATAGCTAGGAAGCCCTGACAGCTGTTTTTGCTGAGTGTTATCCTCACGGGAAGATGGACACCCTGGCCGCGTCAGAAAGCGCTGGTGACAAGCCCAATGTGGACGTTCAACATGCGGAGAAACCGCAGGAAGAGACCAAATTCCAAAGAGCAATATCGGCCTGGAGAAGTATGTGTCTGTCCAGACTATTGTAGAATGCTCCTTATCCTCCCGAATACTGACGGAATAAGGTATCGATTTGGCAAATCTCGTCTCCAAGCTCGATACGACGGCGTCGGATATTGTCGCACATCAACGAGATTCCCTCGTACAGCGCAAAGATTTGGCACAGAAGACAAAGGATTTTAGGAGGCTAGACGATGCATCTAAACTTGCCGAATATAAGGGCTTGTTGAAGTGTACGTATTTAAACCTATCCTTCTTCAACGATAATCGTTGCTAACTCCCTGGCGTAGCCTACCAGGCATTCATCGATCTATTGACAACTCACGGGAAAGCCTCGTCTTCCGCATTCTTACAACTCTACTCAGCGTTTTCGGAGGCCCCGGACCCATATCCTTTACTTGAAGCGTCGATCGACTCCCTCGTATTGTCCGAGGATACCGTCCCGAAATTAACAGCGGAAAAGGAGACCCTCCAAAAGAGTGTCAGTCAGCTTACCCTCCAGCTAGAGGAGTCGGAGA